GCCGCCGGCGCCAGGTTGCCGTGTTGCGCCGTACTCTGCATCCGTACCTTACTGTCACTGCCACTGCCGTATCGCGATCCAGGAATACCATTCGAAAAATCACCCCAATTATTCGTCTCCACCCACCACGGTCTTTGGTGGAAAACGAGCATGGAGATTTTTTTTTTTCTCCTTCGGGATCGAGAGAGGAGGCATCACCCTTTCATTCACCCAACCATTCATCCAATTATCCCCCACCGTCCGTGCCGGCACATGTTTGCGTTTGACAGTCGCTGGAAGCATCATCCATCCGCCGCTTCATGACTGTCAAATCCACTCACCCATTAATCGATCCATCTTTAGCTCTTCGCCCATCATCCAACCTCTTGGAACCGATGTCTCCCTCTCTAGACTGTGGGTGTCGTCTCCCTCACGTCCCTTCCGACCCATCTGGAGAGTCCCCCCTCTTGGCATAGCCCCCCTTCCCATGTTGCAACCCTCCAAGATTCCCCAAGGGCCCAAAAAGACAACGACAAACCTCCGCCGGACCAGCCCGTCACACCAGGCAATCAATGCCGTTCATAGTTACAGAATCACACCAAAACACCAGACCACTTCCGTCCTTTTATCAGCCTTCCCACAAGCCGACGTCTCTGTTTCGTTTCTACCTTGACACAATTCTCGCTAGCACGAAAAGCCACCCGCCCACCCATCCATTCGTCGTCCGCCGCATCTTGTCTCCAGTCTCCTCCTTTTCGAGTCCCAGTCCCCAGTCTCCCAGCTCTCCTCCCCCCCATCCCCGCCCCCTGCGTCCTAGCGGAGCCCTACAAGGACAAGAGAGAGACAAGCTGTGACAGAAGCTGGCTTGCACCGCGCGTTCAAGTCTCTTCGAGTCTGGACCGTTGGACCTGCCCATGGGTCCCTGCCTCGACAGGCCACTCAATCTTGCACCCATTGATCAATAAGTCAATTCAATTTCCGCTCTGTTTCTTACAAGCACCACAGGTCTCGACTCGTAGGCGAGCTTCAAGGTTTTTTCTCTCAATATCAAAGGCCACATGGTCGGCCACTCAGCTACCATGTACGGGTTGTGCCCACTCGGTGGCCTGTCAGTCGCCCTCCCTGTTACCAGCTCTTCTTCACTAGCCCTTTTCGAAACCCAACCAACCAACCAGCCGCCCCGTCCGCGGCTCGCGGCAGCCCAGTAGCCGGCGTCCTCAACGGCGCCAGCCTAGTCCGACGTTGGCTTCATTGCGATTCGCGCCAGTGGCGACCAATGACACAACCGACTCCCTCACGGTTCCTCTTGTTTTCCCAAGAACGGTTTTCAGCCCGAGGTGATCGTCAGAGACACACCTCGCACACCTCAGACCCTCGAAAACGCGGGTACCTGAAAAAGCAAGCGCTAAAGGTTCTGAGGTTGCGGCGGTGTAACACGATCTCTCCTCACGTTCTCAGGCAAGAAGCACGGTCCGCGGGCGAGGAACTCTATTCCACACGAGATTACGAGGTGGCCTGTTTGCGCATTCTTTCTTTTTACTCTTCAAGTATGTGTTTCATGTGACTTTCAACACTGCAATATGCCTCTTACGGTTCTATCCCCTTTCTGAATTCCTGTAGCACAAGCGGTGCCACGTCTCACATTCTTCGACGATTTGAATCTGCTTGTCGGAGGTTGGATCGGATCTACAGCCCGTGTGTTGCGAAAATCTTTCATAATCGATCGCCTCAGTCTGCATTATTAGGTTTGACGCTAGACTCAACACGAGAGCGGCGGGAGAAGAATCTCGATTTGGATCACTGCTTGCGGCGGACAGTTCGGGAAAGTCTTCACGAGCCCTTGGCTGGCTTAGCACGCCTAGCTGCCGTTGCCCTCGTGCCAAGGGCTGAGCTCTCTTCTTCTGCTCTACTCCGAATGTTGTCCCTCCCACGCGTTCTTCCGCACTTGGTGTCGTCATCCCGGGAGAAGGACTCGGAGAGTCGGGGTGCATACGTCAATTGAACGCGGCCCCCGCTACCAGGGGGATCCGAGGACCCATTTAGAAAAGCCGCCGTCTCTCGCGCCGTCTGAGAAGATCACTGAGACCTGCGAAGAACTCTTACCGCCTTGCCGCCCCTGAGCCAGATTCGTCAAGAGACATTTTTTTCTCAACCACCCCCTCCGACCTTCCTGCGTCAAGCGGGCCGGCCTGGTGGCGGGAGACACGGTAGGGTGGTTGAAAAGTCTTTCATGGTTGAGAATGTTGTTTTGTCATGAATCGTGAAAATTGGAGGGGGGCTCTTTACACAATCGGCAGTCATTCTCTACAGACTACGCTACAAAGGGAGGGGAGCACTCAAAATGGCATCATCGGGATGTGTTCCGGTGCTTTCGTGATGTCTTTCGATTACGGGTTGTGGGCGGGCAGCCCATTCAGCCGCCCCCCTCCCCTCGTCTACAGAACAATTCTCCGAGTAAACGGAGCAAACTCGACGACGCTGATTACGCAGGCGCGCGTGTGTATTACACGCCGTAAACTCCCCATGCTCTTCCTCCCTTTTAGCTCAGCCTCATTTGGTATCAAAGCCCCCATTCTCAACGTCCACGGTCCAACGGGTCCCAGGCCCAGTCAGTGCAATCCCCCCCGCGTCAGTCTAAGTCTTCGTCTACAGATCTACTTCGGCATCTTTACGAAGCAGTGACGTCTACGCCGGTAGCAGAACCGCTCCTCTTCTGATCCCGCTGCTCAACCTGCGTCTTCTCATACGTCTCGCTACTCCCGTGGTGATCCTCGTGCGTAAGGTCAAACTTGTACAGCGGCTCCAGCGTGGCATTCTTCTGGAAGAGAATCCATCGCTTAAACCAGTACGGCAGCGCCTGCGTGAGCTGGTAGCGCATGAAGACGCGCGTGGGCACGGCAAAGACGTAGTCGAGCTCCTCGAGGGTGCGCTGTTTGGTTTCCGGAAGCCAGAAGAAGATCATGACGAGGGCGACGATGTTGAGACCCGCGTAGAAGCTGAAGGAGCCGACGACGCCGAGGTCGGCGAGCATGATGGGGAAGCTGATGGAGAGGACGGCGGCCCAGAAGAGGCAGGTTGCTACGGCCCAGGACATGCCTACTTCGCGGTGGGAGAGGGGAAAGACTTCGGCGGAGTAGGTGAAGGGGACGGGGCCTTCGCCGGGGGAGTAGAATGCTGTGAGCCGTTAGTATTTCATATTTCCAACGTTTGGTGCACAGAGTGAGGAGAGAAGGACATACCGGCAAAGAGGTAGATAAACAAAGCCACGAGTCCCAGGTGAGCGCCTCCAGTACCCGGGATGAGCGTGCAGAGGCCGGCGGCGAGCAGCGTCCACGCCATCTGGGGGAAGGTGAAGAGCAGGAGGGAGCGGCGGCCAAAGGTGTCAATGGTCCAGATGGCGGGCCAGGCGAAGATGAAGTTGACCATGCCGAAGCCGAAGGAGGCTAGGAGGGCGTTGTACTCTGAGGTGCCGGCCTCCTTGAAGATTGTGCTGGAGTAGAATGCAATGATGTTGATTCCTGTCGTTTATGTGAGTATGGGCTAGATATGTTGAGGGAATAGGAAAAGGGTTTGACTTACCACACATTTGCTGGGCAATCATGACGGTAAAGGAAGCCAATGTGGCACTACATCACAAAAGTCAGTCGTGAAACTCATCTCGCCACCTCTTCGTCTCATATGAGAGATCACTCACCGTCTGATACGCGGAATAGTAAACAACTCCACAAAGCGCTTCGCATAGTTGGACCGCCCGACAATCTCGGCCTCGACCTGGAGCTGCGTGTGGATGTAGTAGATGTCGCGCGCCGCCTGGATCGGGTGGTTGCGCAGCCGCAGGAGCGACTTCATGGCCTCGGGGAACCTGTTCTTCTTGATGTACCAGCGCGGGGATTCCGGGCAGACGTAGATGAGCAGCACGAGCGGTAAGGCCGGGATGAAGGCGGACCCGAGCTGCAGGCGCCAGGCGATGGCGCCGGTTTTTGCGACGGCGAGGTTGGCTGCTGTTCCGGCTGCGATTCCGAAGGCGGTCCAGAGTTCTGTTGACGTTTTGTTGATTAGTATATATGAGATCTGAGTAGGAAGTCTAAAGCTCATCCGGAGGTTCTACTCACGCCATGTCATGACAAGAGCACCTCGGATCGGCGCAGGCGAGTTCTCGGCGGCAAAGATGGGCACCGTGCTGGCTTTCGCTCCCATGCCGATGCCGAGGAGGACACGGCAGCCGAGCAGCTGCGGCCAGGTCTGGGAGAAGGCGCTCCCGATGACGGGCCAGAGGCAAAAGTTGGCGGCGAAGAAGATTGCGCCGCGGCGGCCAAAGAAGTTGTTGAGCGGGTCCGAGAGCCAGCAGCCGATGAGGGCGCTGCCGATGTATGGCGCCGCGTTGACGAGGCCGACCTTTTGAACGTTAGTATTCGGAGGAAAGTGAAGCTCGTCACATATCGGGGATGAACCGTGAGTGAAAGTGAGTGTATAGGTGAGAACGTACGAGGAGAGTATCATGATGCGAAGTACCCCCAATCCCAAACACCGTAGGAAACGACAAATTCGCGCCGTTGCTGCCCGTCTGATCCCACCCCTGGACGGCAGCACCAATAGAACAGGTGATGATGGTGAGGTAGAGAATCTTGGGGATACGCCACTTGTGCTCGACCTCATCGCGGAGGACCTGGATCTCGGTGGCGTCGAGGGTCTCGGGGCCGTCAATCTCCTCGTAGCCCGTCGGGTCCTGGGCGACGAGGGCGCCCTTTTTCAGGACGGGAATGTACTCCTGCAGACCCTTGTCTTGGGCGAAAGCTTCGACGTCGCGGAGGAGCTCGGCGCGGGTTATGCCGAGGAGAGGGTTCCTGATTCTGTTTGGTGGTGTTAGTCGAGGTCCGGGAGAGATTTGGATTGTAGAAGGGGAGGGACGGACTTTGCGTCGACGTTGTCGTTTAGGTCTACTGTTGCTTGGGATCCGCGGCGGGCTTTCTCCATGTTTGAAAAGTCACCAGAGCTGAGAGTGTTAGTCCGAGTTTGAGGATTGGTGTTGAGGAGTGATGCTTACACCGCGACGCCGTCGTTGTGTTTTTCGTCCGCCATTGTTGCGGCGCGTTGAGTGCTATCAACGACTCAATGCTTGAATAGTCTCTTAGTTGATGTGAGAGTGTTCAATGCTTCTAGCTCTATCCTCTTGATCTATCGCGAGATGACAGTAAAGTCTCTACGAAGAAAATGCGCCTTGGATCTGAGAGTGATCGTCCAACACCAAAGACAGGGCTCGGATGAGAGGAGGGGAAACCGAGAAAGCATGGGATGGGCATTGCCTGGTATTTGTATCTCACCCACAGACGAAATCTCATCCCAACCTCTACACAAGGTTCAAGGAGACCAGACCGGCGCAACCACCTTCCCCCGCAAGGTAAGAACGGTCTGTCAACGCGACTATGTAGACCATCTTTGTTCCCCCCTCTCTCTCCTCTCATGTCAATGGACTGGACCACAGCGTGCGAGCATACAGAGATAGATCCACAATGGGGCGACCCATGGGGAAAGCCCAAGCCTTTCAAAGTGGATTCGCTGGGGTTTGGGCGGCAGGGAGATGGTCGCCATTGTTCAGATGGACCATGGAGCAGAAAACTTCCCCTCACGCGCGCGTGGTGTATGGTATGGCAGCGTAATGACACGGCTGGGTACCATGACAGTGGCGGCTCTCTCTTCATCTGGCCATGGCAGCGGAGAGCAGACCAGACTACATGGTTCGCGAGTTCGGTCTTGCATGGCCCATCATCTAGATCCCCGAGTCTTATTGGACTGCCGGTCGAAGGAGATGTAACGATGCTCCGCAGGGGCGCATCTGGGTTGTGCGACATTTTGAGATCTCCACTGGCAGTGGCTGTCATTCGAGTTGAGTTCTGCGGACCAAAGCCCGGCGCCTTGGTAGCGCTCCTTTGTTTTGTAGGAATTGGGCAGAGATCGGCGCAGAATGATACCGGCTGCTGGACGCCGCAGGCAGCAAAGCTGAAAGCAAAAGCTAAGTTTCTTCGGACCAGCCTTGGCCGTTAACGGTCCCGTTTTTTGACTGAACGGATTCAGGGTTCTGACGGTCCGTTGCTGTTTAGCCGTATCTTCAGTCCAAACCTATGGGATTTCCCCAGACTGACCTTTCTCCTCACTTTCTCCCTCAGGAAAAGCACGTCCCGGCCGTTGAGCGCTGGCACACGCAACACACGTTGTATGGGAACGTCCGTGTTGCAAGAGATAAGGACAGGAACCCTGGCCACTCGAGACAGGACGTAATCAAAACGGGGGACCCCGTCAGACGGATACCGTCAGAAGTACATTTGAGCGCAAGACTCAAAGCTCATCCGAGGAAGCTTGACCGTCTTATTTGCCCCTGGCGTATACATGCAAGACAAACGAGCGGGCGGGCTACTTTGCGGCGCAAGACGGGAATGGCGTCGTCAGATGAGATGCTACCCAGCTGCCGATCCCACTATGTTTGGAGAGTAGCGCCGTTTCTGTGGTAGGCTATCGACCGGGGGAGAACGCTTCGAGGGCGGGATCGGTTGTGCTTTTTGACGTTGGAGGCTTGGAGTCGCTGCCACTTATCTCGGGGAATTTGGGAAAGGCCAAGATAGAACAAGAGATCTCCTTGAGTGCGCCAAGAACGGCGGGATTGACGTCGCAATCGATTTCAAAGTGCTCATAACTCCTGCAACCGTGATATGAGGTCGCCATTGCGCTTTTCTGCTTGCGCTCCGAGAACCTAGAAGTGACAGAAAATAAACCGGGTACGCTTCCTTGACCCCGGGTTTGCGGGGTTTGGTGCACCAAAAATGCGTTCCCCGTACCCAGAGCTGGTTGGAAAAGAAGAGTGCACAAGAGCGAGTAAGCTTGACCAGGATAAACCAACTCCTCATTTCGACGCCCGCATGAAGACGGCATTGTCCGGAGGCGGTATGCTTGCCATTGGTCTTTATGGCAGACCAGTCAACGGCATCTCCACTTGGAAACCAACTGAACGGCTTTTCAGATACCTAGACATGGTGCCATAGTACGAAGGCGCAAAGGAAAAGGCCGGCTCGTATAAATGGTGTGGGCGATGCATGGATAGGACGTCCGTCTCCGGAGCTTCATAATACCGACAAGGCGGAGAAAAGGCCGCATATTTGCTTTACAGAGCAGTAGTGCATTTTGGACATGCGAAAATTACTGTTGTTGAATTGCGAATCGAGAATTGATGAGGTGTCGTCGGCCAGAGTCGTAGCCAAGAAATCGTGCTGAAGAGCCGCCCGCAATGCCCAGAATTGCCGAGGAAATGCCCAGCCCTCTAAAATGCTTGTATCGTCACCCGCAAAAGCTTGGGTTGTCGCATTGGGGGGTATCGGGCCCAAGATCGCTTCTGCGTCCTGGTTGGAGGAGAGGATGCAGCTTTCCAGAGGAGTATCCTCGATTGATTGATGACTGACTGGTGGCACCGCAAGCACATGACCTCGTGACCAGGTTTTGTTCCAAGTACGCCTTTGCACCTTTGTGTCCTTCGGCCAACTTCCCGGTCAATAGGTGAGGTCTGAGTCGTGTTTTCCTAGACAGGGTGAGCAAGAGATGATACGACCCAACGAGTACTGTACTGTCAACCAGTAAGATGCTCATTTACCAAGGGACCCCCAGCGAACCCCGCGGGGCAGACGTTTTTCTATGCGCTTCTCTAAAAGACCGTGGAGGCGTTCGTCCACCTCCATCCTCGCGGTGGTTCCCAGCAGGCGGAGACTATGCGGAGTCTAATGTTAGTCTCCCACACGCAGACAGATGTTACATTTGTAGTACAAGCTGGTTTGGCAGTGTTTGCCTAGGCGTCTTTTGCTCTGAAAGGCCCTTGCTGCTTTTGTACTTTAATGGACTCTGGCTTATCTGTGCTGTTGGCAGTCCTGTCAGTGGGGTTCTCAAATTTCTTACATGCCAGCTCTTCGCACGTAAGTAATGAGGTAGTGCTCCCGAAACATGCTGCAATTCATCGTGGCCTCCGGGCACGATTTTTGGGGGGGGGGACTCCTAGTTTTGGTATTTTTCACGATTTCGCTGTCGTTCTCTAGAACAATTTTACTAACTTTTTTCGCAGTTGGTTTCACCGACACTGAGCGTATTGAGCGTCTTTCTCGTCGTAGGTGTCGCCAAGAACCAGGTCGCCATGAACCCCCACAACAATGTGGTCTTCGATGCCAAACGTCTCATTGGCTGCAAGTTCCAGGACTCCGAGGTCCACTAAAACCACCATGGCAAGTGTCATTGACTACCACTCAAAGTGGTCGACCTGATGCCTTCAGTATCAACAGATTTCTTCACTGAATCATTAGGTTGTCATTGGTAGAGACAGTCACCAAGAAGTAAAAAGGTGCAGCGCCGCAATACCTACCTCAGGGTACAAGCGATGCGCTAGCGAATGCACATAATCATCCTCAATTTTCCATGTCGTGGCTTTTGCACGAACAGGGAATCAGCGTGCTTCGTTCTGCAGAGACCTTTAAAGGCATCCTCCCCCCCCCATCGACCTACCTTAGGCACCTAGACTCAGGTGCCACGGCTGTCAAAGGTAGGCATGCTGACGGCGATTCCAGAACGGCGTTAACAATAAGGACGGGTGGGTGTTTGACAGTCATGAGCTTGATTGATGCTGGGTAACTCGGTATTACTAAAATAATGAGAAGGGTATCGACCACCGTATATCGCCTTCGGTCGTTCTCTGGCTGGTTTTGATGCAGATCATGAGCTTCCAAACAAAAAAAGCCTTAGTAGTTGTGTTTCAGAACCGCCTTGAGCGCTGCAATCTCCTTCTCGTACTTTGTTATCTTTATTTGGCTGCCTTCAAGCTTTTCGAGCACATACGACACTCGAGATCCGGTTTGAGCAGGCTGCTTTGGCAGGCTGCCTAGTAGAGCCAGCTCACCCTCGGCCTTCTCAATGACCTTGGCCTCCACTTTGGTCAGCTCTTTCAAAAGAGCCAGGTCCATCTTGGCCCTAAGAACGCGGTCGTCGAGCAAAAGACTAAATGCTGCTTGATACATTGGCTTTCCGGGACGGATTGTTTGCGGCCGGCCGTTGTAGGTCTCCACCGTAACGAGCTCCGCGTTTGTGAGCCCTTCCAAGGCCGACTCTCCGTTCGCGGCGCCGGGGGTGGTGGAAGAGGTAAAAGTATCAGACAGAAGAACCTCGTTGTATCGGAGAGCATCGTGAGAGGCAAGCGCCTTGATCAAGTACCATGCCTGCTCGGTGGACCATTTCTTTCCCTCGACGGTATCCCTGCCGCCCAAAAGATACATCTTGACTATTTCAGTGGCGCTCTGGTTGATGATATCCTCAATGGCCCGCTGTGGGCTCTGGCCGCCCTTCAAGCGTCTTGCAAGGTATTCGAGATCTGTGAGACGGCCGCCAAGGATTCCAATTGCCGAGTCCAGCTCCGAGAGATCGGGTTTTTGGTGTTGCTCAGTTTTTTCCTTCTTCTCCTCTGCATCCTTGGACTGCTCTCGGACCTTTTCGATTTCATCCTCTTCGAGACGGCTGATGATGAATTTCTTGGCAACATCAAGGGAGAGATCACCCAAAGCAGCCTGACGGAAAACGCGATCCGGCATCGCCTTTGATAGTGACTTTGAGTAAGAGGTGTCGTCCGTCAAGAAGATAACGTGGGCGACGTTGTTCTGAACCATGGCCGCAGCCCATTCCGCAACCTTGTCGTAGACTAAGGCTGAGCCTTCGTTCTTGTGCAAGAAGTTGTCAATGACCACAACGGCCCGCTTATCCGGACGAGCCTCCAAGTAGGCGTCATCTGAAAGGTTACCGTCTTTGCCATCCTTGTCGCGTCCGGCGAGGGAGACCTCCTTCAGGGCCTCGGCGGTTGTGTGGAGGATTTTGACCACTTGCGACTCCAGTGTCTCGGAAAAGCCAGCCTTGACTCCAGTTGTGCTCTGAACTGCCAAGTCGATCATGCTGCTCATGCTGTTCAAGAAAGCGAAGATCGGTTTGTAGCCCACAGCGGCAGCCAGGTGTTTGATAGTCCCGCTTTCGCCCCTTGCCTCGATGATGGGCTTGCAGTCAATCACCAAAACATTTTTCCTGCCCTTGAGTGACTGGTCCAAGACGAGTTCCTTTTTTCCGGAGCCCCGAGGGCCTTGAACAACTATGAAGGTGTCGGAGCTCTCGAGGAGCCAGGTCTGAATCTGCTCGATAAGGTCTCGGCGATGCTGCCAAACTGCGCTGAACCCGGCCTTGTCAGATTTCTTGTGCCCGAATGAGGAGAAGATGTCGGAAGTCTGGCTCTTGATCCATCGATAGAATTTGTTGTTGCTTAACCGGAAAGAATGTTGGATGTGGGCCTTGACAAAGAATTCGCGTATGGGATCGAAGATGGCTACCGTGATGGCCGCGAGAAGGGCGGCAACGACAGGAATCACCACCCTAGGATGGCTAGTGAGCCAGTTCCAGATGTTGTGCGGTTTGACCTTTTGCTCATAAGAGAGGCGAAGCCTTGTACCGATCTTTCCGCCACCGAGACCCTCGTCGACAAGGAATCCATGGAGACAATTTCTCGCCATGATGGCATCGCGAACGCGCGCAAAGTCGATGTATGCGTACTTTGGGAGGATCTTCGAGTCGGAGGGTTGTGATGTTATCTCGGCAATTTTACCGTATCTGCGGAACAGACTGTAGAGAGTTTCCTGTGAGAGTTCGACAGCCTCGCCGCCAGCGTCTTTTCCTGTGAATTCGACCTTGACGCGACTTTTAGGAAACCGATAGAGGTCCTCTAGCCACGGAACGCCCTTGACGAGTCCTGCCTGAACCCCACGAAAAGGGTTAAACCATGGTCTGAGGGGATGCTTTTCGAGCGAGCGTGCGAGGGATGCTTAGGAGTTGTTAGCCACGCATCTACAAGAGTTGAGAAGACCCGGTTCAGACAGCGACGAAGAAGTCATTGCGCACTAAAACGAGGTGCAGACTCACTCTCGATATCTTTTGGTACAACGTCGGAGCCATGGCTGAATTTTACAAAGGCTCCTCCGTCCTTGAGTCGTGGTAGGATCTCTGTGACTTTGATTGGGAGGTCGTTGGGGATCGCTCGTTTTACCAGGCTGATTGGGTCGGTGCCAAGGCCTCCGCCAGAGCTATCGAAGCGCTTAAGAAGGTCGGTTAGGTCACGGTCTGACTGCCATGATCGCCGGAGGAGGTAGGTGAGCTTGAGAGGAAAGAGGTCTACCAGCTGTTGTCAGTGTTTATCTCTCGCGCGAGCGTTGGCTGAGATGGACATTGGATAAGGAGCATAAGGGTGGTGGGGTGTTGAGGACAAGACCGTGAGTGCGAAGAGGGCAGGGGAAGTGGTTGACGAGGAAAATGGAGACAGTGAAGGGCATCGATATGATATTCGATGCCGGGAGGACAAATTAAGGAAGGGTATGGACCAAACCCGGGACGCGAGGTCCTGGGTCAGATGCAGGAACAACCCCGCAGAGGGAAGGGGTGACCAGGTATCTTACTGTCAAAGAAGAGAATGGATTCGCTCTCCGAAGTGGCGATGTGCCCAGACTTCTCTTCGCCGGTGACGGTGCTCTCCCATGCTTTGGACGCGGCGCGCACGATAGCTCCATGTCGCTGGGGTTGAGTAAATGGCCGGGGCGGGCCCCATCTCATCTGCAGCCGAGGCGCAGGCCTCATGCCGGAGCGAAACAGCGCTCTGGTAGGTAACATTGGATGGATGTGGTTGCAGACTCACATGTTGCTTTGGCAAGCGACGGTGGGATCGAGTTTGTAGACGGGACGTTGGGAACAGCTGGATGGAAGGCAATGGAAGAGAATCAAGGCAAGCTACCTTAGTCCTTCCTGCCTCACCTCACCTTACCAGAGCTGCTTAGCTCCTTCTTCACGAGAAAACCCCGGTGTTCGCGTGGGATGATGTCACGCTGTGTGGCTCCACTTGAAGGCCCGCTCGGTCCAGCGCGCCCCGTAACCTTAAGTTTCGAAACGGACGATATCTTATCCGAACCGACGATGCCCCACCAGAGCACGCGCAGCTACGGCAAAAATCATGCAACCACTCATTGGCTAAGACGCGCCGTCTTGGAGGTCATTGATGGTAACGATTGCCGACTTCCCCTCATTCTCGACTGCGCCCGACCTACCCAAGACGATATTACCTTGGGACATTACCCGAACCATTACTCTGTCTTTTGTTTAGTATCAAAAACTCTTCAAAATGGGCTGGCTCTGGGCTTCACCATCTCCCCCCAAGACTCCCGCTCCGGGACAAGCTTCACAGGCTCCTGCGTCTACCCCTCCACCCTCGAATAAATCGACCGATTCCGAGGTCGATCCCGAGATTGTAAAGTTCCTCGCCCTCTTCCAGAACGAATCGGGTAGTCAGCCAGAAGAGAAGGCGCCTGCGCCAGCACAAGCATCCTCTACACCATCCAAACCATCATCGTCTTCTTCGTCATGGTTCTCCCTCAAATCATCACCCGACTCACCCTCGCAAACGAGCAACCGAGCGATCACGCCACCCTCCGATAACCCTGTGGCCGAGTCTACCCTACCGACAAATATGTCTTGCCGCCAGGCTTTTGACATGGCTTTTCACTGCCAGTCTGTCGGCGGCCAGTGGAACAGCATTTACCGATACGGCACGATGCGCTCTTGCAGCGAACACTGGGAGGACTTTTGGTTCTGTATGAGGATCAAGAGTTACACGGGGAAGATGAAGGAGGATTCCATAAGAGACCACTATCGCCAGAAGGAGTTTGAGAAGTATGGAGATGGCAAGCCGAGCAGTGAGGACGTCTGGCAGGCAAGGACCACCAAGGTCCCACCAGGCACGGCATTTACGGAGAGTCTGGAAGAACCCACAATTAATGACGAGGAGTGGCAGAGGATGGAGATTGAGAGGCGCAAACAGATTAGGCAGGGACTTGGCATCGAAGCAGCGGCATGATTATTGTACAAAACTCATCTCTCCTCACATTTTGGACGTCAGGCAAAGTGAAGCCATTTTGTTGCACCATCAGCATCTGTCAATTACCATTTGCTGTTGGCATGTTCCTCACCACTTCACAACATTTCAGACAGCATCACAGTCATTGAATAACCAGGTAATTTTTACTGTTTTGTATTAGACTTCCTAAACCGCGGAGTCTAGCTAGAATACATCTGACCCATAACCGTGCTTTTCCCGTCGTGATTTCATAAATGCAAAGAAAGCAAAAGTCTAGTCGTGAAACCCAGTAGCAGCCGATGCGGTGCCACACCCATGACTCGGACTCTAAGGAAAGAATTCATCAAGGGTATCAATTTAGTCAACCTCCTCGACGGTAGGGCCGTCGTCGTGGTTGCCGGGGGGAGCACCGCCGCCGGGAGCACCGGGGAAGCCGCCAGGGGCACCTCCAGCACCGGGGGGACCGCCAGCAGAGCCGTAGAACTTCATCATGATGGGGTTGGCAATGCCCTCGAGCTCCTTCTGGCGCTCCTCGTACTCCTCGCGAGTGGCCTGCTGGTTCTCGTCGAGCCAGGTGACAATGGTGTCGATCTCAGTCTTGAGCTTCTCCTTGTCATCAGCCTCAAGCTTCTCATCGACCTTGGAGTCGCTGAGGGTGTTGCGGAGGGAGTAGGCGTAAGACTCGAGGCCGTTCTTGGCAGAGACACGCTGGGCCTCGGCCTCATCCTCATCCTTGAACTTCTCGGCCTCAGCAAGCATGCGCTCAATGTCCTCCTTGGAAAGGCGGCCCTTGTCGTTGGTGATGACAATCTTGTTGGACTTGCCGGTACCCTTCTCGACGGCGGAGACGTTCATGATTCCGTTGGCGTCAAGGTCGAAGGTGACCTCAATCTGGGGAACACCGCGGGGGGCGGGGGGAATGCCGGTAAGCTCGAACTTGCCGAGAAGGTTGTTGTCCTTGGTGCGCTGGCGCTCACCCTCGTAGACCTGGATGAGGACACCGGGCTGGTTGTCGGAGAAGGTGGAGAAGACCTCGGACTTCTTGGTGGGGATGGTGGTGTTGCGGGGAATGAGCTTGGTCATCATGCCACCAGCAGTCTCGATACCGAGGGACAGAGGGGCAACGTCGAGAAGAAGGATCTCGTTGGTGCTCTTGGAGGAGGTGTCACCGGACAGAATGGCGGCCTGGACAGCGGCACCGTAGGCAACAGCCTCATCGGGGTTGATGGACTTGTTGGGCTCCTTGCCGTTGAAGTAGTCGGAGATGAGCTTCTGGACACGGGGGATACGGGTGGAACCTCCGACCAGGACGATCTCGTGGACCTGGGACTTGTCGACCTTGGCGTCGGTGAGGACACGGTCGACGGGCTGGATAGTAGAGCGGAACAGGTCCTGGCAGAGCTCCTCGAAGCGAGCACGGGTGATGGAGGTGTAGAAGTCGATACCCTCGAACAGGGAGTCGATCTCGATGGAGGTCTGGGCAGACGAGGACAGGGTGCGCTTGGCACGCTCGCAAGCGGTGCGAAGACGGCGCAGGGCGCGGGCGTTGGAGGACAGGTCCTTCTTGTGCTTGCGCTTGAACTCGTTGACGAAGTGGTTGACGAGACGGTTGTCGAAGTCCTCACCACCCAAGTGAGTGTCACCAGCGGTGGACTTGACCTCGAAAATGCCCTCCTCAATGGTCAGAAGAGACACATCGAAGGTACCACCACCAAGATCGAAGATGAGCACGTTGCGCTCGCCCTCGGCCTTCTTGTCAAGACCGTAGGCAATGGCGGCAGCGGTGGGCTCGTTGATGATACGGAGGACGTTGAGGCCGGCAATGAGACCGGCGTCCTTGGTAGCCTGACGCTGGGAGTCGTTGAAGTAGGCGGGGACAGTGACAACTGGGATGTGTTAGTCTGTGGCTCTCAACTGAGATTCGGGACGTGTGTACTTACCAGCATTGTTGACCTGGCCACCGAGGAAAGACTCGGCAGTCTCACGCATCTTGGTCAGGACCATGGCGGAGATCTCCTCGGGAGTGAAGGTCTTGGTCTCGCCCTTGAACTCGACCTCGATGTTGGGCTTGCCACCCTTCTCGATGACCTTGAAGGGGAAGTGCTTCATATCAGCCTGGACCTCGGAGTCCTGGAACTTGCGGCCAATGAGACGCTTGGCATCGAAGACCGTGTTGTGGGGGTTCATGGCGACCTGGTTCTTGGCCGCATCTCCGATGAGACGCTCAGTGTCGGTGAAACCAACTGCGAAAAAAGTTAGTAAAATTGTTCTAGAGAACGATAGCGAAATCGTGAAAAATACCAAAACTAGGAGTCGTCCGGTTCCCCTGGTCGTTTGCAATGATTTCAATCTTGTCGTTGGAGTAGTATGCGACACATCTAGATGTTGTTAGTATGTTATGATCATGTTGGGTGGTGGTGAGAATTGGGCGGCGAAAAGGCGCGCCAGGAAGGGGGAAAGAGGGCAGGAAGGAAGGAGCAACTTACGAGTAGGTAGTACCCAAGTCGATACCGACAGCCTTGCCTCCGGAAGCCATTGTGACGGTTGTGATGTGTGGAAGAAGAGTTGTGGTGTTTTGAGAGTTTGCGTGTGAAGGAGGGGTATCTTCGTGCGCGTAACCGGGAGAAGTTGTGTTCCGGTAGAGTTGATATCAGCGATCAAGAGTTCGGTGAAAAAAGAAATGCGCTGGACACTTCTGTTTCTGATGGGTATTAAAGGAGATGGTTTTTCGTAGAGAGTGAAGAGACAGGAGATGCGAGAGGATGGTGTTTGGATTCTTAAAAGGTGGACGGCAGGTAGGAGGCTGGAGCGACTCAGTGCCCCGCAAAAATTCGAAATGGTTCTTTCCTCTTCCACCCGCCCTCAATTGGTGGGGTACCACCATCGCTGCGGCCCAGCTGGAGACACTTCCAGGAACCTCTCGAACACGCCTGAAATTTTCTACCAACCCATACAAGGATTAATTCGAGACTAGGGCCTTTTCAGCCTCTCCAGGAGGCAAGGTTTCCAATTTTCCTGGATTCGAGGCAATTCCCCAAGGCGATTCCAACGACTTTCGAAAGATTCTGCGAAAGGCGATTCGCTGACATCATAACCTTCCATGAAGTCTATGGAGGGGCAGCCCGTTTGCGCCCCTTGTCGCAGTACCCTGGCCAGGCTCCCATGCACGCCTTAAAACTGGTCTGTGTAAGTACCCTCTACCTTTCCCCTCTCGTCCACGAATCCACACCGCTCCAGAAAAAAGAATTTCCATCGCTGGTGAGGTGATATCATCCAGACTGGGCCACGCAGTGGCCCAGCTATGTGGCCCAGCGACGGGACCCAGGCTCCAGAGACCCTTCATGAAGCATCTATTACCCACCACAACCATCTCGATTCTCCAGTCTGGACCTTAGTCAGGCACCTTAAGCAACCGGAATCAATGTCAGTTGGGTTGGGAGCACCAAGAAATGCGGCGGCAAAGGTGAGGAGGGGACACAAGTGACTACAGCATTGAGACGAACATTCAGGCAAACCGCCACAGCTAGGCAAAGGGAATTGACGTGGGAAATCAGGCTGCTATCGCAACTAGGTACGGATACCTATTCTTAGGATTGGTGGATGTGGTGGTGAACATTGCATGCAGATGCGCAAAGGGCAGCCTTTGTTGCCATGGCAGCCCAATGAAACCCACCATTGCGGGTTTTCTTCTTCTGTTCCTCCCATTCCTCATGTCCCTCCTCTTACCATTGTCCCCTCTGTCATTCTGCCTCGCAATTTCTCAGTGCGTATTCGTACCTGATGCTTCCACGGACAGTAGTTCCCAACAACGACTAAGCAGCCAAAGATGGAGGCAAAGATAGAAATCCCCCCGATACTGGCGGGAATGGCAAGACAGGCAGGTAGGTGCGGTAATCGGAAGTGACTCCATATGCTCGGCCCCGGCCGGTCGGCCTTAGCTATACAAGAAGCCCGTAATAAGTGGGTCTCGGTTCCGGATCGGAACTCCAAAACAAAATGTTGTCAGGATCGGTGTCGACGACGTTGAGGAAGGCAGCGGCGGCGGCGATATTGGTTGATCAGATATGGTCTTTCGAATCCATTTCACTTGAAAATCAAGGCGCTCAAAAACACTGCATCTTCTATGCCACAAGACTTGACGAAACATTCGTGTTAAGCGTATATCTCAGAATGGTAAATTGAAAGTGGCTGAGAACTACCCGAACTCCCCTGCGAGCGAACTACGGAAATCATCAATAGAAAATGCCAAGGTGGCTAGATATCTGGAGAAAGAATTTGTCCATCTCCCAGGTCCGCTAGTCCGCCCTAGATCCCCTCCTCGGGATCAAGGGCCGTTGTTGGGTCGTAAACGAAACGGCCCATCTCCTTGCACTTGACATTTCCATTGTCATCTTTCTCCTTATGCCCAGCAGCCTCTACAGCTTGAGAAGCAACACCATCAATGTTTTTGCTCTTGATGACGACCGGCTTCTGCCAATTTGCCTTGTCCGTGGAATACCAATCAGCTTCTTTGAACTTACAAGTCCCGTCACGATATTTCTCCATTTCCTCGTTGGGGAGCAATTCGGGCCGGTCCTGGTCTATCTTCTTGGGGATCTCAGCATTATGGCTCTCTGTAAAGAAGACTGGTTCAACTTTGCGAAGCCTGATCTGCCACTTGTCTATGAGGGGACTCGGGACACCTTTGGGGACACCCTGCCAGTTATTGGCGAATGTCGCGAGGACGGACATCGCCTGGGCCCAATTTCCATTTGGTAAGTGCACTGTTGTTTCCTGTGTCAAGTACCTGGTCTCGAGATTTCCGTCTGCATTCGTATACTCGATGCGATAGGCGACTTTGAGCATTTCCAAGAAGGTGTCGTATGGACCGACGCGGAGAAAGTCCTCGTATGAATAAGGATGGCGCGTACTCGACGTACCGGTAGTGATCTCGACTGCGGGAATTACGTAGTCGCCCTCTCTGACCCCCCAGTCAGATCCCCCAGCATTTCTACTCAGAGGAAGGCGGAGTGCCTGAGTGGCGTCTTCCGTGTATACGCCTTGCGGCACTTTACATGTGAAAAAAGTGACGGCAAGTCTGTTGGGATCTCTGGGGTCGCCGTTGTCTTCCACTCTGCACGGCGGTCCCTTGTAGAGCCAGCAATAAATGTGAGGCCCAAGACGGTCTCTTTGGGGCCCAGTCAAAACATGACGGATTTTTTCGGGTCCAGTCCAGAGACCGTTTTTGATACGATACAACTCCAAGACTGAGCTGTTCCAATTAAGACCACTCTCCGAGTCGAAGCGGACAGTGAAATTGGGTCTCGCGAATGAAGAAAATGCCCTAGAAGCCGTTATTGAGCCAGCGATTCTTGTAAGGATACTAGCGACGTGACCGGGCAAACAAGTGGCGGGGTTATTCAAGCCCTCCCAAGACATGTCTCGCATACTTGGATGATAGGCATCGTATAGGGCAATGATTGCCTGTTCCGCCCAGGTATGCCATGCTGGGCCCTCAGAGGGGTTAGGCTTCTCCATCTTGGCGATGGGGTAAATCGCCCACTTTCTGTTGGGTTCCTTGAGGAAGTTCTTCATATACTCGTAGTGGTTGACTGAATATCTAGATGGCAACGTGGATTCGATCTTCTGTCGTTGGCCTTCTACGTATTTCGTTCCCTCCGTGCTCATCTTCCAGAAGCAATGGGCTGTGAAATTGTACGGAAAAACTTCGTCCTCTCCGTGGTAGACGGTGATATAAAGCACACATTTGGTGTCTAGGTCATCTCTCTCCTTAGCAGAGAGTTTATTGTACTCGGTAACCTTCGATATGATGTCCTTGAGGCCGGGCATGCTGTTGCGAAACAAATCAAGAGTTCCCATATTCTCGAAGCCTAGGGTTACTCTCAACATCTCATGTTCTCGTAATAAAGGACTTTGTTCACTAACCTTGAACCATTTTCTTCGCAATGCTCGCAATTTCCCCTGGCTTCTTCAACATGTCAAGCTGTCGAAGACTAACCCCGGCAAGACCTAACGCATGGTTCTGAGATTCCCACGACTTGAAGAACGTGACGAGAAGGCGTTCAAACGGTCTCTCGATGTTTTTGTCGGCCTTTACGACCGGGGCCGACTTATCAAGTTCCTTGCAGGAACATGACGCCAAGCGAGGGCCTATCTCAAGGTACCTTTCGGGAACGATGAGACGGTCCTTGAACTTTTGGGGGTTGCAATGAAGACCCCAGGCAAAGTCACCGCGGCCGTAAACCTCGAACCACAGATAGCGGTCGTATATCTTTTCGGCAGGGTCCCGAATAATCCCGTCAGTGCCCTGCACCAGCTTGTCCCAGCGGTAATCTTCGATGTCCCCTAGTTTGCGGATCTTCGAATGGGATCCAGTCTTTGCTGATTCTGGCTCTGACAGTGGTATCAGGAAACGACATGATGAAGCTTGCGGTAAGGAAGTAGTTCTGAGTTAAGTGCGGAAGCGAGGCAACGTATAACCTTGTTGAGGTATCTTTTTGAGAGGAGCGTATTGGCAGTGTCAAAAACGTTAGTAAGTGGAGGGTGAACACGTCTGCTAGAGTAAAATCTGGGCAAATTACCTTTAATTAGATAGTTTGAGTATTCGCTTCAGCTTGACTTCGTTGAAGTCTCGTACGGGTTCGAACCTGCATTTCTTCATCCCCCGCCGCCTGCGAAGCTCTTTGTGCAGTGCCTTTCCAGCTCGATAGTTCCGCTTTAAAGAAAGCGCAACTTCGATTTACGTAGGTCTATTCAGACTTCGTACTTCCCATCTTTACCAAATGAATGTGTGTCACATGAATCTTTCACGTGGGCCACAACACTTAATGTGACGGACGTCACGTTATGCTAGTTTCCTTGTAATGTTTACCGCCACCTTCAAATGTCCCTTTCGTGGGCAGGGGAACACTCGAAAGCCATCGCAATTCTGACTCGATGGCTTGTGTGGCCTCAATTTCTAATGACTGAGTGAAAGACCTCCTGTAAACCTGTCGTAGCCAAATGACCAATTTAGAGGGGAGGATTTACTCTCACCTGGCGGACTGTATGCTTCTACGGCGAAGGCCGTAAATAGACATTCCAGGAGCTGGGGTGAATACCACTTGTCACATGTGGGAAACGTATGGAGTTCATCAAACAAGCACAGAAAATGCTAACATTCAACTGAAGGTACATGTACCTAACAACGGCCGTATCACCAAAAAGCTTCTGGTCAAATGATAGGTTATTTTGGCAGCTGACCAGAAGCTTTGCCATATCTCTGACGACCTCAAATGTGAATGATGATGAATACTGTAAGCACTGTGTGCTTTCATGGTTGATCAATACTGGTGATGGAAATCGCAGACAAATCTGTTTACTCCATAATATAGAGTAGCCGAAGGAAGATGCGACCATGTGGCACGAAGAAACCCGTGTCACGGATCTTTTTATCCTTCAGAATGACACTGATCATAGCAACTGTTCACAGATTACGTATGTTCATCGTCAAAACGAGAAGATGAGCAGAGCAGAAGGATAGCGTGTCGGCTGCAAGTGAAGTTGACAACATGGCGAGGTGTTACACCGATATGTCACTGAATGGGAGGAACTGTGTAACATGACCGGCAAAGACATTTCAGAAAAGGCGGATGAATGCAAAGCACTGGCTCGTAGCCGTTTACCGACTCCGGAATCATGAAGATGCCATGCCAGGTGGACAACGAGGTTGTTCATGATGCTCACCAGACACGGCCGGGGACTGTACGACATCTCCCGATCACCTCCTTGAAGTAATGTGACAGAACAGTTGCCGACTTCTACTTCAAAGACATAATGAAGTATCACAAGGGTAAAGTATTGCCTATTGACAATATTGATGAGGTTTACACGTGAGCAAACCATCGTTGTTCCCTGGTGCCTATTCAGACATCGCCGCTCATACCCATGGACATCCCAAGGTAGGCAACGGTACGTCTTTACACCTCCAAAGCGGTATTCAATAGTGAAACATATATTTTACAATCCCAGTCTGAACCAACTAACTAAAACGCCTCCAAGCCAGCCGGCTTCCCAAACCAAGTACCCAACTCATCACCGTCTTCATCCCTATTCCCCGACGCGAAGTAGTCTGTCATCCGCGCGGTATCACCATCTTCTTCGACTGGCCAGTCCACCTTGGGGTTTCCCTTGGCATCGAGCATGTCCTTGGCCGTGCCCCAGCTGAACCGGCATTCGGGCCCCCATCCAAACACTGGGTGCATATTAGACCTCATCCATGACACGCATCGTCCATCTGATGGGTATCCCGAACCCCAAGCCATGCCCTCCTCTCCCTCTGCCGCAGCGTCAGGGGCTCGGCCTTTGTAAAGAACCTCGAGTGCGACGTCACGAGTGACCTTTGCGCATACAGAGGCGGCCGATACACAAGGGTAGAGACTGTCTGCCTTCTTCGCGACTGTAATTTTTGTTGCGGGGAAGAAGCGCTGGAGCTTAGCTTGGTAGGCGGCGGGCTGACCGACGGTATCAACGTAAATCTCCTGGATATTGACACCCTGAGAAAAGACACCCTTGATCAAGTCGACGGTGGCGTCCATGGCCTGGGCGTTGAGGTTGTAGTTGGCCACTGGGCGCATCATGCCTGATGAGATATCGCGGGCACTGAGAGCTGAGATGGCGAAGCCGCAAGTCTCGGCCAAGTCGGAGCCTGGCGTACATAGAGCCGTCATGAGTTGTGAGCGGACGGCCGGTGTGAGCACTTTGGAGTCGTCAAAGTGATGGGTCTCACGGAGTAAGGGGTCTGAGAGAGGAATAGGTAGGTAGAAGACACCATACACCATGGGTCCCAAGACCGGCCCGCGGCCGGCCTCATCGACACCCAGACAGACTGGGGTGCCGGACGCTGCTGGCGAATCAGCTTCATCAGGTGTGCTGGGTTTGGTTGCTGATGTTGGTGGGAGAAGTGTTGAGGGAACTGGGGAGAAGTATGTGTATGAATCGCCTGAGAGAATGGCCTTTTCGTTGATAGAAGGGGGGACAAAGGCACCCGGGACTGGAGTCTCGAGGGCAACGTCCTCGACCATTGGAGGGTCTTCCATTGTGACTGGTGAGCTGGAGATGGGTTGAGAGTAAACTGGATTCGGCTTGGGTTTCAGTATCGAGTTATAGGGCAGAGGAGCAACGGCGTATAGGGGTATGTCGTCGTATGGGTATCTTGTGAGAACCAATTGCAATACTTCTTTATCCAAACTCCGAGCTGAACACCAAATTAGTTGAGACTGTCAAAATCAAGATTGAAGGTTTACAAAGTGACTTGGACTTGGGATCGGGAATTCTTGTTGGCTAGCCCCTCGACGCGTCTAGATTAATGGGGACGCGTTCAGCAGTGGCGCCAAGTCCACACGTACAGGCCCCTGTCAACCCCCATCTGCAGCAGGTCCCCGGCCACTGAAAGTCCGTCGACACAGTTGTGCTCAGCGCGCGTCACCAATTTGCTTGTCAACCAAAAAGTTGCGCGCGGTCAACCTCCCCAACACGACCACATCCGCCCAAGATAAACACGGCCACGATTCGGTCCACGACGTCCCTTCATTCTCACCCAAGTCACTCGTGCTGAAGACCCAGATCGGGATGCCCCATCTCGAATTTTAGTCAAATTTCTCGAACCGGACCATTTGACAACTCCACATTCGCAATGGCACCACCGCGACAGAGCAACGTACGTCGTCGCGAGACGTCAACAGGCGACTTTCATGAGCTTGGTGTGAAAGGACGGTGCGTCGCGCACTTCTGGTCTCGAGCTGCCGCGGATCGCAAGCTCGAGCTTGCATATGGACTTGTTGGACTGACATCCCAATAGAAAGACTGGCATTGAATTGCCCGACACGGGCGTACGCGACGAACATGGCATGCAGCCCATCGACGGCCTCTTCTCCTCACCGGAGAAGGACAACGGATCCGCCAGCGACGACGGAGAACAGGACATGGAGCTGGAGTCGGGTAAGATCTACTGACATCGTGCAACGCTGCTCGGTTTCTAACAAAGCTTCCGTGTTAGAATCCGGTCCCGGGCCTTCCACCATTATGAAGAACCACCCTCGGCTCGTTCCCCGAGGAACCTCCCCGCGAAAGACAAACCTCGGATCACCAGCGATGCGCCACCCGAGCTTCGGCCCTTCATCATCACCGACACGACTGTCACCCCAGCGGAGATCATCTTCGCCGATAGAAACTCAGCCAGCTCGTGGAGCTCCAGTATCACGCAAACTCGACTACGGCGCGTTGGAGAAGAACGGACCCGGATTGAACGGTAAACGTCCCAACGGGTTCAAGAGTGGACGCGCAGTCCCTTCCGAGGACGAGGAAGACGAGGAAGCCGTGTTACAGGCGCAAAAAAGTACTGTCGAGAACGGGGACGAGGAGTCAATGCAAATGGTCAGCATGGATGACGGAGAAGTGCCAGAGCCCGAATCTGAGCCAGAATTACCGGAACCAGAGGAAATCTCAGAGGTCGAGGCCCCGAAGCAGCCAGTTAAGCGCAAAGGCCGTCCGGCCAAGGCGAAGCCAGTCGTCCAGGAAGAGGCAGAGGAACAGTCAAACAATGAATCCGAACCAGAACAAGCACCCGTTAAGAGGAGAGGCAGGCCGGCAAAGGGCAAGGGCAAGGAGAAGACTCAATCAGACGAACCTGAGCCTGAAGCGGAAGAGGTCAGCGCGCCCAAACGAAGACGCTCGCGTAACTCCGACGCAGACGAGGCCGAGCAAGAGGAGGAAGACGATCGCGCATCCAAACGACAACGGAAAGAACCAAAGAAGGCGACAGGCGGAGCACGGGGTCGTCCTAAAGCTGTGCCCCAGGAGGAGGAAGGCGAATCATCGAAGCAGACGGCCAAGGCAGCTTCAAAAGCCAAAACCGGGTCAAAGGGTAAGCCAGGACGCAAGCCGCAAGCCGCAGCGGGCGAGGACTCGATTCTGGGCGCGGTGCAAAAGGGACCGCCCATGCCCAAGGCGCGCGGTCTAGTCTCGCAGAAGCAGAAGCAAGACCCCCATTCCATCACCCACACGAGATCAGGTCGCCAGTCCTACAGGCCGCTGGCGTTCTGGAAGAACGAGCACGTCACCTACGACGAGGACGAGGCTTTCGAAGACGGCAAGAAAGGCAACAGATTCCTCCTGCCGAGCGTCAAGGAGGTCGTCCGCGTCGAAGAAGAGGAGCGGGAGGCTGCGCGGAAGGGCAAGTCGAGAGGCCGCAGACCTACCGCCAAGGCAGGCAGGCGGCGACAGCAGGTCGAATCCGAAGACGAGGAGCCGGCGGAACCGTGGGAGCAGGACCCCGGCAGCGTCGACGGCGAGATTGTGGTCTGGCAACCCGAGCACGAGTTCAACCCGCCCGCTATCAACGAGCAGGTTGAGATCGACGAGGAACGCATCGCCGTCGCCGCGAGCGCCATCCAGACGAGGGACATTCGCGACGCGACGTTCCGTTTCGCAAAGACGCTGAGCTTGCCGTTCTTTGGCTCGGGCGTCGTCGATCTCCCGCCCGGCGCGGAGAAGCGGCCCAAGAACTCGCGCAAGATGCAAATGGTGTTTTTCGTGTTCCAGGGCAAGGTTCTGGTTACGGTGCACGAGTCGCAGTTTAGGATCAGCGCCGGTGGAATGTGGTTTGTGCCGAGAGGTGAGCCGCCTTTTATGGACGACTTGAGTATGAATGATTTACTGACTTGTCGCGCAGGAAACTACTACAGTATTCATAATGACTATGAAAACCCAGCTCGTATCTTCTTTGCGCAGGGTTGCGAGATGAGCGCAGGGAATGGGTTCTCTCAGGATACGACCATAGGCTGAAGTTGAGATGTGGATGATAGAAACGGCGGGTTTCATCGGCCTCGTCTGTTGGGTTTTCTTGTTGATTGTTTGGTTGTCGGCGGTGTGTTTTGCGAGATATCCCATTTTCTCCTCCTCCCCCTGAAAAGGAGCTCGACGTTCCGGGCACCCCTGGGAGGAGCCCGTTTGGATCTGGTCTTGAAGTTGGTGGAGGTTCCCCTTTCTGGTCCAAGAACGGGACTTGAGGGGAGCTGGCGAGGACAATTGAGTCTCGACGTATTGAGATTGCGTCGTGTTGCGAGATGAGCGAGTTGAGGACCATCATGAGGAGTAGCGGCTGTTTTTGTGTTTTTGAAGGGGTTCATAATTGCATCAATATCCACGAAATCGCGTTTCTCAATGTAAGGATTTATCGTTCTGATGCCTCGTTGAAATAAGTGTACTTTGCGAATAGCCTTGGTGATACATAACCGACGTGCAAAAGCCGAATTTGGACGCGCAACTTACTACATCACATCACATTGCCTCAATCATTTTATGTAAAAGTCTTGCGAGCAAATTCGTGGGGACACAATCTCAAGGGTCACTCAACGCATCATAACTCAAAAACATATCTTATAGACATTATATCCTTTGCCTCCCTATTCATAAAACCCCATCTTCCCTCGCTCTATCGGGCGTCTGGAACGCAGCGTCATTTTCAGCTGTCACGGACTACCTTAACCTAAACAAACACAAACGCGCGGGCGCGCGGGAGAGACAAAGTCTAAATGTCATCAATATCATCCTCGGCGCTCTTCTTCTTGCCCCGGCTGTCGAGCGTATCCATGCTGATGGAGTCGCTATCACGAGCGGGCATGGCCAGCGCGTTTCGCGCCGTGTCCGAGTTTTCAATGAATTCGCGCAGCTTCGCCTTGCCAATTTCCACACCCTGGTTGGCGGCCGCGTTGGCCATCTGGTACATGGGGCCGAGCATGTTGAGCGTGTAGGCGACGTAGGTTCCTCCGGCGAGCAAGATGAGGAAGACAAAGAGGAAGGGGTTGCGCAGGACTGTTGTAAGTTAGCATATGACCACACATCAGAGAGCAGCACAACTCACCAGCAACGATCTCGTTCCATCCCAGAGCCACCAGGAGGGCGTAAAAGTACAGCGGTACCTGTGCGACACCGCCAATGGCACTACGCTTGGCCTCGACGTAGACACCATCCGCAGTCTTCTTGAACCGGATGACGAGGTCTTGACGCTTGCTCTCGCTGAGAACATTCATCTCCTCCTCGAGGCTCTTGCCATCCTCTTCATCAACACCACCAATCGGGGTCAAGTCCTCCTCGTCGCTGGGCTCAACTCCACGGGGTTGGTTACCAATCCAGGCAGGCAACTCGGGAGGGCCGTAGCTTTCCGAAAGCTTGAATTTCGACAACAAGGGGATGAGCGTCAGCGTCGACTCTCTCGCCTTGGTGTAGATGCCCTCAATGTCGTCGGTAGGTCTCCAGATTCTCGGTACGCCGGCCTCGTCGTATCTGAACTTGTCCTCAAAGTTTTCTCTCAGCTTCAACAAAATGTTGCCCTCCATGACCTCTTCCTCAATCTTCTCGCGCAAAGCAACCCAACTCTTGCGCCTGAGGCGCCAGAGGCCGACCTCAACCTCATCCTGGGTGGCTTCAAAGCTCTTGGCACGGTCGGTGAACCTGCCCTGTGCGTCCTTGACGATATCGACAAATACGGTCCAGATGCGGTCCCAGAGATCCTTCTCCGCAGGCTTCTCGCCAGTCTCGGGGGCACCGGACCCAGCTCTACCTGAGCCGAGCTTGTTGAATTCGAGGCCAATTGCATCGCTCAAACGGGACTTGACCCATCGCTCCACCCTCGTGGCCAACCGGCGCATCTCTTCCTTGCGCAGCTTACCGCTCACGTCGTCCAACTCTTTCTCAAACAGTACATACTGTGACTTGAAGTTGGACCAAGCAATGCCAGGGATGGCGAGGCTCTCAGCCTCAGTCTTGAAGAACTCGAGCGTCTTCTTCTTCTCCTCGGTTACAATCTCAGCAAACTCGTAAGCCGCGCCGGACTTCTGGCCAGCCTTGACAGCACCCGAAACGTGCTCACTGAACGAGGCAATGGCAGCCTTGTGAGCAGCAGACAGTTGCGCGTTGTAGAGCGTCTTGAGGCGACCGTCGATCTTAGCTTCCAAGTCTTGGCGCTTGCGCGTGTAGACACCCTTGTGATATCTGCTGGCTTGAATCTCGAATGCCTTGAGACACTTCTCGCGAGACTCACGTCCCGTCACACCCAAATCGGCCAATACCGCGGGCTTGCCGGCTCTGGCAGACTCGGACTGCTTCTCCTCGAGCGGTACGACGGCATTATCGAAGCCAATCAGGACCTCCCTCGAAATCTCGTCGCAACGGAACTGCGCAAGCAGCTCCTGCTGTGTCGGCAAATCCAGATCCTTGTTGTTGACAATCTGATCCCAGATGCCCTCGGCGTAGAGCGAAAAGCCGTCGGCGGGAATGCGTCGGTGGTACTCGGGCAGGAACACACCGCCATCGAACTCCTGAGTGCTGGCCCCACTCGTGCGGTGCCCCGCAGTGAACCTCCTCCCCAGGTTCTGGATCTCGGTAGTGAACTTATCGGCCTGCAGGATCTTGTGGGGGAGGGCGGCAAAGGCGAAGTCGAAGTAGTCCTCGATGCGCGAGTTTTCGAGGCCCTGCGGCTTGGAGATGGAGGACCAGATCTTGGTCAGGTCCTGGACCAGGGTGTTGCGCAGGTTCGCAAGGGGCGTCGTGCCAAGGTGATCTCGGATAACGAAGAAGAGTAGCGATCTCAAGCTCGATCTGTGTGAGGTGTTAGCAAGCGGCGGGGGGTCTGCCAATGCGAAGGCGACTTACTGCTTGTCCTTGAGGAAGAGCTGCAGGTTGACCTCAAAGACGGTCTTGAGCAGACCCATGTTGGCACCGTTGTACAGGCCGACCTGTGTCTCCCAGAGGTTGACAATCAGAACCTCACTGGTTGCCAGGGCGAAAAGAGCGCTCTTCCTCTCGAAATCCTGGTCCTCGCCACGCTCACGACCATCAGTTCCCTCAACATCCATAACGATGATGTTCTCGGCCATGCCGGCTTCCTTCTTGTTCTTTGACATCCATATTCCCTTGGTGGTCTGCTGGCGCATCGTCTCGGACATGACGGAGAAGTCGGTACCAAAGAGGTTGTTCAACAGCGTCGACTTGCCGGTGGATTGGGAGCCGAAGACGGAGATGAGGTGGTAGTTAAACCCCGCCTCGGCGACGCGCACTTTTTGCAAATATGTTGCGACATGGGAGCTGTAAAGGAGAGAGGGGTTAGTCAGTTAGCCTTTGACCATTGTCGGTTCATGTAGGCGGGGGAAGATATATCGTACTTGAAGTCCTTCTGATCGTCAATGACCTGGATGCCATGCTCATAGTTCTGGGCATCCGGCTCTTCGCCGACAGCAGCAAAGTGGCCGTTCATGGTTGCAGCGACGGGTGAAGCAAATAATGTGGAGGGGCAAGTCTCGTATGTTTTATTTGGTCATTGTCGTTTTTCCAGAAAAAAGAGTAAGAAGAAGAGGAAGAAAAGGAATGGGAAAGCAAGCCAAACGTAGGTAGTTCGGGTGCAATGTAGCAACAGGGGCGAAAGTGCAGTGAGCGAGTGCTAAGGTAATGGGAGTTGGCAGCTGGAAAAGGAAGTGACCACATCGACCCTTGTGATCAAATTCCCCTGTCATGGGCCGTTAATCTTGCCTTTCCCACCTGCCCGTGGCTTTACTGTGTGCCCAGAGTGCAATTGCGCCGGATGAATGGTTGGTCCGTGCTGCTGCTTCCCCCCCAACTTCCCAACGAGTGACCAGAACAGGCTCGGTCTCAGGGCAACCCCTGGCATGTGAATCCTCCACTGGCACCTCTCCAGAATCCTGTCCAAAAAAAAAAAAAAAAACCATCAGACGGCGTGACCACGACCATGTGAGGTATCTCCGTTGAATAGCGGACCAGTCATGGTGAATGATAACCAGAAATCAAATTGGGAACTCTGTCACGAGGTTTTGGAATTACAATGAGGCGGCCGTGTCCATCCAGTGCTCCCGTCCCTGAAACTAAGAGCTGTCAGTCATTTCGGTTGGCCGCTAATACAAAGTTCATGGTTCCCACCGGCGCGGGCCGGCTTTAAATGTGGAATTCCTCCCAGCTCAAACCAATCTTCCCAACGCCATGGTAATACTCGGTAAAGTTCAATTGATTCAGCCATACCTTGAAATCAACTTCTTCATGATACCCATTGCGCCTCCGCGGTATCCTCCACCGAATATCGCATAATGGTTGAGGTGGTGATATCTGCGGCACCTCCATGTCAGCGGGGCAAATCACCATGGCAACCCCCAAGCAAGTGGGCGAAAGCGAGCGAATGGACTTACAACTCGTAGAGCGCGACCCGATCATCCCATTCCTCTACTGGTTCCGCCTTTGGCACGAGCTTGTTATACTCGTTCCAAAACCCGCTCCCGAAGCCGCCAAACATCTTCATGATGCCCAGCTCGTACTCCGCGTGCCCGTACACGGCCGACGAATCGTAGACAACCTCCTCCGCGCCGCCCTTGCCAGCGATCTGGGCCCGACCATGGTTCCCGCTCCATAGATCACCGTGGATCACCACCGGCTTGATCCCCTTGACGCGGTCATCGCCAATCAGCCGCGGAACGACCCGGCTCGCAACGGTCTCCACGGCCTCAGACAACTCCCCATCCGCGCCGTTATTCCTAACCCCCCCGCGCAAGACGCTGCGCAGCCTATTCTCGGCGTAGAAATCGGCCCAAGTCTCCTTCCAAGCGTTATCCTGCGGCGTCGAGCCGCAGCAGGTGCTCACGGGAAAGCCGTACATGGGCCTGTCGAAACCCTCTGGGACAGGCGCCGGGGTCGTGTGCATCTTGGCGAGCTTCGCGGCTAGTGAGAGGCCGGAGCCGCCAGAGGCCGAGGATCCCAGGTCCAAGAAATCTGTGACTAGAAAGTATTTGCCCGGTGACGACTGGTATCGTCCGTGGGCGTGCGACTTTGGGCAGAAATTCGGCACGGCGTTGTGGATTGCGTTTAGCGATTCATGTTCGCCTGCGGAAGTGTCAATGCTTATACTTCAAGGTAGTTTAGATGCTAAGTCGAGTGCAGATGTTTCTCTTCATCATCAGACTGCTCTCATTCCAGCCAGGCTTCACTGACCTCTGAACATGACTTCGGCATCTTTCCCGGAGCCCGTCTTGATGAAGAAGTTGGTGGGCTGATCATCGATGACGGACGTGAGTTTGAATGATGATGCAAAGCCGGAGCCGCCATGGGACGCGATTTTGGTCTGTTCAGGATCAAGTTGGAGGGCTTCGAGGATGGCTGGGTCTACATTTGATGCCATCTTAGATATAGAACATTGGTTTGATAAAGTCTAGGTAGGCAGGATGATGGTTTGTGTGATTTGTAAGTAAGCTCTCAAGCTCAATTACATGGCACCAGCTCAGACCGTTGGGTGAGCTCTGAGTGACGTAGAAGCAACGGCCTCCACTCTGTGACTTAACTGACCCGCCTCAGCACCTCAGCATGCATTTCAGCCCCACAACGTCCCATTCTGGCTGTCATTCGCAGCCACCGTGTCTTCTCACCCGACTTGGACTCTGCTGTGCACCCTTTCGCCACAACCAATAACCGCTTGGATCGATAGCTCAGTGGTAGAGCGAGAGATTGCAGTTAAACGCAGTTTATCTCTAGGCCCCGCGTTCGAATCGCGGTCGGTCCTTGTTCTTTTGTCGATCTCACTACCGGTGTTATGTTTGTTCCTCATAAAGGGTGTATACTTTTGCTGTGTTGACTACGTTCGTTGGAGATGGCTTTTTGGCTGCTGTTGTCACTCTTTAAAGCTATTGCGTGCTCTTTTCAAAGTTTTGCCTGATTCGGCTCCCGGTGCAATGGTGGGGTCATGGTCCCGACCGACAAGAATAACGGGGCCGTGGTGGGGCCGTTGATGCTCCGCCCAGAGCTTTTCATTGACAGGATTCTTTGAGGTAAAGTAGGAGAAGGAAAAGGAAGGCTGAGAGATGTACAAATGATTATCAGTAGGACTAACTCATACTGGAGCATCCAGTGTCAAAGTCTTTGGTATAGCGTTTATTAAACTGCAAAATGAAATCCATAGTTTTCTCCAGTGCCTTCGTGTCAAAAAGTAACGCCCTCCGCAATGTACCAACACCAAAGCACCCCTTCTCAATCTCGTGATATCTATCGTCTTGACACAACATCCAAGTCACGTCTTCCCGAGAGACCACCGGACCAACCAAGGTAACCTCGTTTGGCTGATTTCCCGTCCCGCCTGACTGGCTGACAAGCGGGAGCCAAAAACCCCCGCCATACCATACCTGGCCAGGCCTGTCATTACCCCAACTCTCCAAGCTAAAACCGAGATAACTAGCACGCCAACCACCAGCGGCACGGCACCACACCAAAGGGCCAAGACACAAAAGCATGTTTCTTTTTACCCCATCCTATCACTTCCCCAGGATTGAGATCTCACCAGCCCAACGGACCAGTCCACCACCCCCGCTAAACACAAGCTAGGGGGTGGACGCCCGCCGGCGATGCTCCCAGTTCGTCCAACGACTGCGACCCAAGGACCCCTTATCTGGCATCTCAAACCCTAAATCTGGTGCTCTGGACCGTCGCTTGACGCTTCGTGCAGCTGCGCAGGCATCCGCCCAGAGAACAACGACCTTTCTTGACGATAGTAAGCCTCTTGGCGTCCGGGGCAGGATTGAGGGGTTTCCAATCCAACCTGCCTGAATGAAAGGAGGCCCCGGCCTTTGCCTGAGCGACAAGTAGAGAGAAAGTGTCGGAAAGAATGGTCCAGACTTCCCCAACGCCAAGATGCCACTTCCCGGGGTAAATGTGGCCCAAATGTAGTCAGCTTTGCCCACGTCGTTGTCATTCGCATTTCCCACACCATCCCCCTCCCTCCCTTTCCTTGCTCTGACTCTTAGACAATTTCTTTTCCCAGAGCGAGGCGGTGAATGTCGGTGATAGAGGCGCGGTCTGAGCTGGCGCTGCTGTCTTGGGAATAGACGCTGAAGTTTGTCGTCGAGGAAGTCTCTTCGCGGCGGAGCGGCGTCAGGTCTGATTCTGTCTCTCGTCGCAGGGCCGCCGTTCGTGTCTCTTTTGTTATTACTTGGCTCGGGATGGACGTGTAGCTCGGCGCCGTGGTCTGCGGGACGGTCGTCTTCCAGTGCTCGCCGTTGCCGTTCCAGCAGGCGGAGCATGGGCACTGGGGAGTTCGGTTGATGGCTGGCGGCGGGGTGCAGTGGCGCTTCCACCAGCTGAGAGGCTTTTGTTCGGTAGACATTGTGATGTTGGTGTTTGTTGGAGCTCTTGAGGGGGTGAAGTAGAAGGAAGGGATCAAGGGACCAGGGAACCAAATCCAGAGGGTCTATGTGTATGCGTGTATGTATTGGGGTATAAGTAGAGATCGACTGGACTTGGTAAAAGGTCAAACGGTGACCCCCTTGATAAGAAAGCGTAAAGGCTTCGGACACGAAGGCGAGGAAAGGAGAACTGGAGATGGAGACAAGAAAACCGTGACGGGGAAGGGAGACTTCTCGGGAAAGGGTGGCCCCAGTGAGATTATATACCCACGATGAATGACCTCCGAGACCACGGCCGGCCGAGCCCAGGTCAAAGACGGTCTTGTGGGACCCTTGGATGTGATACCCATGACCTGCCCGCCTGCATGTGAAGCTGAGTGGACGGCTTGCGCACTTGCAAAAGCTCGACGCCCCGGCTGAGGTGTACGAAGAACAATCTCGACTGGGCGCTTGCCTAAGTAGCTAGCCCCGGGCTGGCTGCCGCCGCCGGCGCACCTACAGAGTACGATGCCATGTGCGTCTCGCTTCCTTGGTGACACCTTCAGAAAGACTGCAGGTGTAGCCTCCGAGGCTCACTCGAGTCCAGGAAAGACCAGCAAAACCTCGAAGAAAACGACGTTGGAGAAAGCTGGGAGGAAAGGAAGAAAAAAATGGTCTAGGTACAAGTTAGTCGCGAGATTTGGAGGTTCGAAGGAGGGTACGTACTGGTTGGGTTAGTCACATTCGCGGCTTCGCCAATCGCCTCCCACGTCCTTCTCACTTCACCTTGAAGTTGGCTCGGGACTGGTTCGGAGAGTCTTCGCAATGTTAGGGCCCGCTTTTCCTTGACGTTTCCTACGGCCAACATACGATGTGGAGCCTCTTCCATCATGGAATCAACAGTTTTTTTCTGTCTTTCTATCACCGAGCATGCGATAAGACCTGAGAGGTGTCGTAAATGAAACTGTTTCGCGGGCTTCGTCGTTGCGAGGTTGTGGTAGCGGCTGCGACGTTGTAAGCGTTTTTCGCGACTGCGACTGCGACTTGTATAAGGCGCCGATCATCCGGGCGATCGACAAACGGAAGCTAGCGGACACGTTCAGCCTGGTGCCTCTGCTCGGAAACCGAACGAAAGAGAAGAATCTGTAGTCTCCCGTGGAAAGTTTGAAGGTGTCTTGGTGAAGGAGAAACCCCGGGAATAAGTGGCGAGAAGAAATGACGGTTATCTCCAGAAACCGCAACACCAAAATCCAGGCCCCGTCAAAAAGACCCAAACATCATCCCGAACAAAAGCAAAATTTCGCGTCATCGACCCTGGTCAGTGGTAATAGATATGGGCAAGGTTCGGGAAGTGTCCGCCGGGAGGAGCTTTTTCGCTAGCATGCAAGCTAAGAAAGTTCAAGAAACGGGAGAGATGCCATGGGAACGCTTATTCCCGTAGCAAGGGTCATGTAAGGTCAACAACGGTCACGGCGACTGGGATCTCGAAGAGGAATTTAAGAGAGTTAACCGCGGGCCGGGAAACGACATGTCTGTTGAGCCTCACGGTGGATCCTTCCCTTCCGTTTGACGGTTGGTGTGGACGCCCCTTCATCCGAGAATCGCAATAGCCGAAGGGGAATCCATTCTGTGCCGACAGATGCTGTGGCTGGAGGGATCTCGGAGATGGGTCCTGGGATTGCGGAGTGGAATGGCCTGATCACTACGTCCGGCGTCGCATCGGAGCCAATTTGATGATATAAGTTCTTCCGCGCCGGCGCTTTTTGATTGATGATGTCTTGCTTCTCATTGTCTTCTTTTTTGATTCTTCTCTCCTTTGAAGAGATGGGATTTGAAGCAGTTATCGAGCGGCTTCAAAGCAACAAGTGTTGCTGAGATAAACTGACGGTCATAACAGATCAAAGACAGGGGTCTTCCCGAATTCGCAACTAGGCTTGCTTGGACAGCTCCTACATCGCTTCTTTCATCCTATTCCCTAACATGCAGCAGAGTCGTTGGATATGATTCTGGCTCCTTGAGGCTCTCATCTCTTCTAGTTGGAGCAACAAGATTACACTTTGATGAGTGAGCCTTTGCCAGAACCTGCCTGAGGACCTTTGCTGAACCCAGAGCAGCCTAGAGTTGTTGAAGGTTCTACCGGTCACAGTTGCTGTCATGTCTGGCTGCCCAGAAATTCGTCGTCTTAGATGCTGGGTTGCCCAGAGTTCCGCCTTGTCCTACGCTATTGAGCCATCTTAGCTTAAGATGGGTTGACCTCCACATCACAGCCAATCATCAAGCCGGCTGAACGACCTGAACCCCGATGGTCAATTCGACCGAAAACCCATGCTGGAAAGGACGAAGCTCGACTCAGATGGATTTGTACCAGCGGCCTTCGCATTGCCCGGCGTGGAGGAATCGGAGCCATGCCGGTGCGCGAATCTCTACCTACGGTTCTTCAGAAACGCTACCACAGAACCCCTTCTGCCGGCTATCTGATTTCGAGAACGACGCGTCCAACGTGCAGTGTGTCGGAGAATACCACTCATACCAGCTATCCTGCTACGTCCAGGCCTCGGCAACGACACCCCCGGATGACGACGACAAGAGTGCGTCAACCACTGCTTCCCATCAAGAAGGAAAACCGCCCTCACACCTTTGGCTGCGCAGAACATTGCAAACCGCCAGCAGCCTCCTATCCAGTGCTAAGGAGACTCTTCGAGCTGTGGGATCGACTACCGTGAGGATCCTGGACGAAGCTCGTGTAGATATCAGCACATGGTGGTTGGCTAGCCGAAGACTTCGGCTGTGGTTGGGACGACTGATGATTGCCTTGGTCACTATCTCGACGTGCAGACTCCTGGTTTTCCACGTTTTGAGGCAAGACCGGCCCGTTTACGTACTGGTCCACGTATGCCAGTCCTGGTCAGTCGTGGCCAGTTTTGTATCTGAGCCGGTAGCTCGGATCGAAAACGGCTATATCTAAATATATCTCAGGCTCTCCGCTGGACCCTCAGCATGGCATATGAGTACTACGTCCACCGAATGAGCGGTCACGCAAAAGGTAGAGTGGGTGGGATGGGAGCGGTGAAATGCCGTCGAAAAAGGCTCTGGTTGCCCTGGCAAACCCATACGGAGACGAGCTTTGTAAGTTGCAACGTTTGACAACTTCAATAATGGTCGCTGACTTTGTAGCAGGTGAGAACACTGCGATCGAGCGAGCCTCAAAATCATCAATTCGACCTCTTGGCTTCGAAATACGTATGATATCGTCAAGAAAGTATCGTTACCGAACCAGACGCGGCGATTGGATAGACACGGTTCATCTCGGTCGCTATTATGCCGTAAAATGATTTTGCGCAATGGAGCTCAAGAAAGGGTAGGTTGGAGTTGAGCTGAGGTAGACAAGATCTGTTTTGGTGTATCTGTGAGTATTTCAACAATACTAGTACAAATGGACATGCTGCCTCTGGAGTCGCATAGCAGCGTGCAAAAAGCTGGATCCCAGCAATGTCTGAAGTTGAGGTGAAGAAATGACGCCACATGATGAACCTGCAGATGCAGCTTCCTGCAGCAGTGCAGACACGTGGATGGCGTTGTGTCTTGACAGGTGCACGGGTTCGGAGCTCGGGCCACTTTCGGCCGCTTTACCGGATGGTCTCCGAGTCCGACCTTGACCTCGAGACGGAGCTATCCCGTGCTTCGGCTAACGATGGAATATTTATACTGAGTATTGTGAAGAATTCAGATGAACATAAGAATATGAGCTGACACATCAATAGACAACAGGTCATGGTGAGCAATTAGTCAAGAGTCAGATATGTAGGGCAATAGAAGACATAGTGACGGTTTTGGCGGAGGAAGCAAGCTCCGTTGGAAGCTAAAAGCGGCGCTGGAACCCTGTAGCTCGGCTGAAGCTTTGTTCCGAGCGAAAACCAACCAGAGGACCGGGAATTCCCGCGGCCCAGAAACCTCTGGTTTTCCCGTTTGAGATTGCTTGGAGATAGCGCTTTCCTGCAAAACCAATTGCATCACAGCACACTCGAAGGACTCCTCGTCAGTCCTCTTCCTTTTCCCTTCTCACGACTACGCGCCTCTTCATCCCACCCGTCGGGATCTTCTAGTCAGTCATTTAATTGACAGGCGCGCTTTACGTTTTTTCCCTCTTCCTCCGATCTTCGAAATCCAACCCCCGTCCTTCGCGACACGAACACATAAACCCCCTTCACAATCATGTTCAAGCTCGGACGCAGCCGGTTGGCTTCTGCCATCCAAACTTCCTCAAAGGTCGCGGCTCCCAGATACCCGGGCCTTGCCCAGCAACAAAGGAGAAACCTCAGCATTCACGAGTACCTCTCCGCCGACCTTCTGCGCCAGGTAAACACACCCACCAGAGAACCCGCGATACATGGGGGCCCCACTCCTTTTCGGGGGGGCCAGTTTTTCAGGAGCTTCTCAGCCAGCTCAGCGCGATAAAGAACCAGACAATAGCTAACGTACGGGTCGCTTTTTTTTTTTGCTTTAGTATGGAGTCGGTGTCCCCAAGGGATCCAACGCGAAGACCGCCGCCGAGGCCAAGGCCATCGCAAAGGAGATTGGTGGTGAGGACATGGTCATCAAGGCCCAGGTCCTCGCTGGTGGACGTGGAAAGGGCACCTTCGACAACGGCCTCAAGGGCGGTGTTCGCGTCATCTACTCCCCCACCGAGGCCGAGATGTTCGCCGAGCAGATGATTGGCCACAAACTCATCACCAAGCAGACTGGCGCCGGCGGCAAGCTCTGCAGCTCCGTCTACATTTGCGAGCGCAAGTTCGCCCGCCGCGAGTTCTACCTCGCCATCCTGATGGACCGCGCCTCCCAGGCCCCCGTCATTGTCTCCTCCTCCCAGGGCGGTATGGACATCGAGACCGTCGCCAAGGAGAACCCCGAGGCCATCATCACCACCAACATCGACATCAACAAGGGTGTCACCGACGAGATCGCCCGCGATATCGCCGTCAAGCTCGGCTTCAGCGAGCAGTGCATCGAGGACGCCAAGGACACCATCCAGAAGCTCTACAAGATCTTCCTCGAGAAGGACGCTACCCAGATTGAGATCAACCCCCTCTCCGAGACCTCTGACCACAAGGTCCTCTGCATGGACGCCAAGTTCGGCTTCGACGACAACGCCGACTACCGCCAGAAGGAGGTTTTCGCCCTGCGCGACACCACCCAGGAGGACGCCGACGAGGTCCGCGCCGCCGAGTCCGGCCTCAACTTCATCAAGCTCGACGGTGACATTGGCTGCCTCGTCAACGGTGCCGGTCTGGCCATGGCCACCATGGACATCATCAAGCTCAACAAGGGTACCCCCGCCAACTTCCTCGACGTCGGTGGTGGTGCCACCCCCGCCGCCATCAAGGAGGCCTTTGAGCTCATCACGAGCGACCCCAAGGTCTCTGCCATCTTTGTCAACATTTTCGGTGGTATCGTCCGCTGCGATCTCATCGCCAAGGGTCTCATCAACGCCTCCAAGGAGCTCAACCTCAAGATCCCCATCATTGCCCGTCTCCAGGGTACCAACGTTGAGGCTGCCCACGACATCATCAACAACTCTGGCATGAAGATCTTCTCCATCGACGACCTCCAGACCGCCGCCGAGAAGGCTGTGCAACTGTCCAAGGTTGTCAAGATGGGTAAGTCATGAAATCCCACACTCTCGTTCTTATGAGCTTGTGCTAACTATAATCCCTACAGCCCGTGACATTGATGTCGGCGTCGAGTTCTCCTTGGGTATCTAAAGCTCTAGCGTTGTGTTTTAGACTGGCCTCGCCCTGTACATTAATTAACATAGCCCTAGGTTGAAGGAGCTAGCACTGGGAGCCGAAATATCAAACTTGTGTGTTCAAATGTCACTTGCAAGTTTCCCACAAGCGCTGTCACCCCATTGCCCGCCCTGTTGTGATTGTGAAATATCCCAAGCCTCACCTCTTTTCCCACATGTCCAGTCTATCCTTTTCTCCTGCATGTGATGAACATGGTCATACGGTTACATGTCCATATGCACAATTTGCTACGCAGAAAAAAAATGCCCCCACTCCCACGTCTGCAGGCGAAGCGTGTCATGTAACCACATCCTCCACATCAACGTTCCCACTTCCCAACTTCGCTTCTCTGCCTTTCGCTTATGTGTCCCCTTGCTGCATCTGCAAGTCTCCATGAGACGACGGAGACGCTCTCCTCCCGGCAACCAGATGACTAAGCCCTCATCCGTTCAATCTTGGATCGATAGCTCAGTGGTAGAGCGAGAGATTGCAGCTTCCCGCAGCAACCTATCTCTAGGCCCCGCGTTCGAATCGCGGTCGGTCCTTGAACCATCTGTCCTCGTTGAGGAACACCTCCTTTTGCTTTTTGGTCGGTCGTGTTTCGTGTGTTGACTTGGTAAGTTGAACGGCATTGGCCAAGTGTGAGTGAGTGAGTGCATGTGTAATGTGTATGTGTAGCATAGGAACATTTCAAGAGATGGTCGGTCCTTTGCTCAATTCTATACCCACCCATAGCCGGTTTCGACATGATGCAGCACTCACACAGCTGCAGATCAAGAACTTTTTCAATGCTTTCTTTCATTGTTTATTGATTACATATTCATACACTCTGGACATTGGAGTGACTCTGTGAAAATGAAAAAATGTAGCCAAAGAGGGACCTGGCCTTAAATTCACAATAGCTACAGTAATGACTCAAACCCCGGCCTGATATTGAACTCCAACGCCAAACATCCATATATCCTCCCATGAACTCCTCCTCAAAGCCACGGCAGGGCCAATAAGCATAAACCATTGCTCACCTCCCTCCTAAGACTTAACCATAGACCCCAAAAACAAGCCAAGAGCAGTCAACGCCAACGCAAGCGGCGTAGTCGCATTCTGAATATCCCCCGAAATAACGCCAAATGAATACAAAAAGCAAAAAGCAAAAAACGGTGACAGACACAGCAGGATATACACCGACGTCATCAGCGCAGACCTCCGCTCCCGGACATACAGACCCCAAAAGTCCTCTTTGCGATTACTCCGCTCGTCGAGGTAGTGGTACCGCTGCGGTATACACCCAACCGTGTCTTCGCTGAGCGCCTCGACGGTATCGTAGAACGGCAGACCGAGCGATGTCCAGATGACGGCCTCGCTCTTTGCCGTGTAGTGGAAGACGTGGCTGAATTCTTCGGGGGAGACGGGGGGTTCGCGGAGGGCGGGTCGCGGGTTGTAGTAGTAATCCTTTTGGGACGTGTTTGGTACTTCGAGACCGCGGTGGGCGAAGCCGTTGCGGCAGAACTTTTCAAACTGGTGAGAGTTTAGTATCGCTCTTCAGACTCGCAGGATGATGTGCTTCCCGTCCTGAAGGGCGGTGATGGGAAGCAGCGTGCGTGACATTTGCCTCGTTTGAGGACTGAAAAGGGGGGAGGGGGCATCACTTACACGCACAAAATCGCAATGAGAGAAGTTATAAGGCGAGAGCCACCACCTCCAGAAGCCTTTGAGCTCGCGATATACCTTTCGCAACTCTTGGCCAAAATCTGCGGTGTCTAGATAAAGCGAAGGTAGTTGCCTCAGCCGATGCCGGCCCGTGGTTGCGAGTATGAAGATGTATCTCGGCCGGGGATATTCGCGCTTCTGACCGGTTTGAGTCTCCTGGCCAGGCGAGGACGTTGGGTCGGGCAACTTTGATGATTCGTTGGCGCGGGGAGTCTTGATTGATCTCGTTCCCAGCGACGAGGTCTCATATGCCTTCGACGACGGTGGTAGAGCGTCTGATGTCGGGTTGCTTGCTGAGGCTGTATAGTTCCGGCTTGCGAGAGGATGTTTTCGCAGCAACATTGCAATGTTACCTGCAAATGAAGCTGGTACGGTTTCCCATCTTGATATGCCGCACCTCTGAATATGTGACGTTAGCAACATGAGTCTCTGTGAGTGACCGACACATCGAACTTACACAGCGCCATCCAATTCGCGCCTCGGTCGAGCTTGGAGCATGCCTGGGAGACGGCAGAGGCCACCAATCCCAATCCTCCTTTGTCAAAGTTTGCACCCAATTTTGGAAGTTATCGAGTCTCTTAGGCATGCTTTCGATATCAAGCATGACACTTTCAGGACCCGACTCTTCTAGTTCTGTCAGGATGACTTGCATCTTATCCTTCATGCCGACCCAATAGTCATCATCCAATGTGTCCTTGCCTTCAAGGACCCTCGCAACGAGCTTCTGGGCGTGGGTACGGAAAGAAGGGTTGACGAAATCGGACAGCCTTCTCGTCATGTTTTCGAATGCCCCGCTGGAGAGAACGAAGGCACGGATAGACTCAAAGTCCAGGTCGTCCGTTTGTTCGTCCTTCTCTTTCTCATCGGGGAAATCGTCATCTTCTTCGTGGTTCAGGTTGTCGTCGTCCTGCTCAAGCTGCGCGACTTCATCTGGGTGAGGGTCCTCGGATAGAGTGTCTGGAAAAGGCTCCGACGCTTTGGTCCTCGGCTGATCGAGGGCGATGGGCTCGAGGGTCTTCACAACGATTCTCGAAGTGACCCCTGATGCGATTGCCACCCGATAGACACGGAAAAATACGGCGGACAGAGCTTCGTCTTTGGATGCGGCCTCTATCGCCAACTCCATGCCTAACGATCGTAGAATCCGGGTCAAGTTCCTCCGAAGTCTGTCGGATCCTATTCCCGGCTTTCGCACAGCCGACTCAAGGAGTGGACATAACGTGCTATTTTCAGACAGAAACGATACAGCATTGCCCAAGCCCGACGTGACGGATGTCGAAGTTGACCCCTCAATCAACGTTGTCGCTGACGATTCAAAGGATGCCACAGAGCTAGTTTCCCACGCCGAGTCCTCATCATTATCGAAGTTCTCATAACTTGGCACGCTGTCATCAACAGTCCCCAAGGCGGGGAACAGTCTTCCACAGTGGCTAAAGGCACTTGGACTGCTTGCTAAAAAGTCTCGGAGGTGACTTGAGTTGACAAGATTTTGGCAGTCATCCCACGTCGAGTAATCCCGGGCCCAATCAACTCTCCAGGCGAAAAGGGTTGGATCTTTGACTGTCTTCGCAATGTGTTCCTGCAGACGTAAAAATGCGTTCACGTTGCCCTCCCCATAGATCGGCATCATCTCGACGCCGAATAATCCTGAAAGAGAGTATGCAATGTCCTCGAGTCGATACGCATTCCGGTTCGTGGCCCAGAACATCTTCCTAGCTACTGACACCTTTGCGAGATCACCCCCTTCGAGAACAAAAGGGTCGATACCAGTAATGTCATACAACTGGCTTCGAAGCTCGGATCTTGAATTAAGAAGCTGCCATTCGCGGGTAAAGAATACAAGGCGAGTGGGGGCAATGAGTTCCTGTAGAGTCCAAGATCGCGAGAACCACCTGCTGCGTCTAAAAGAATCTGGTAGCCCAGGAGGCGTGTTCACGGTGACTTTAACATCAGTACGTAAAGGATCCTCAGACACCGTGTACTCACCGGCTTGCATGTCAACGTCAGACAAGTAGGCGATGCATACTGCCGCTGATCTGAAGGTGCGGAAGCTTGACTCGACTGCTTCGCTTCTTTCGGCTTCGCTTTCCTTATCCATACAACAAGTATCGATCCAGATGAAATTGAGCCCTAGCATTTCGGCAGCAGAACAAGCGGACTCTATCTTGCGAAAGCCACTTCTCCGAGCCGCCGTGGCCAAGTCTCCCATATCTTGGAATAGAACCTCATCATGCTCCCAAAGGTGAGATAACGCGGCGTAAGGCGGGGCATTCCCTAGATCAAAGACCTCGAGTTTCTTCGCCGTCGTTGATAGAAGTCTCATGATTAGTTTCTGGCGACTCGTGGATTCCTCTGCAATCACGAGTAGATACGTTTCTCGGTGACCAGGTCTTCGATTTGCGCATGCAGTGACGCTCTGCAGATGTAAAAAAGGCTAACAGGCAGCCGCATCCAATGAGAAGTATGGGGTTCATGCAGCCGCTGGGGGTGAGCGATTGGCTCCGTCACAATTGCATATTCGACCACCTGCGCCGGGAAATCGCTGCGCCTGATGAGTGTTGATGAAATGTTCATTAATATACTTTTGAGGCCATTTGCCGGCCGTTATAATGTAAGAGCTGAGATGGTATTCGAGCTGCTCGTCGAAAAGAAATGCAGGCGCCGTTTTCCAGCACTCACATAATGGTATCAGACAGCTTCCGCTGCAGCCTCTCCCCGACGTTCTCCTTGGCCTCCTCCTCTTTCCTCCTCTGTATCGCCTCCTTGCGGTTGTGATGGTACGACGGGTCTCGCGTGACGCCCTCACGGCGCCATTTGCTAGGCGGCTTCAGGCCCAGCTCCGCGTACCGCGACCACACATTGACACCGCGCCGGAACCACCTCTCCTGCCTGTCCTCCTCCTCCTCGGGTGTCGCCTGCCACTTGCTCCTCAGGATGCGGCGGATCGCCTCGGGCGACATTTGAAACTTGTCGGCGAGCGTCTTGAGGTCGTACTCCTCGGGGAACTGGGCGTGCAGCGCCTTGATGCCGGCGATGGCGTCCGGGGACAGGCGCTTGCGCGGGTTCCAGCCGTCGGGGAACTTCTTCTTGAGGGCCTCTTTTTGGAGCTGCCAGTTTTCTCGCTTCGGTTTCGCCTCTTCTGCGTCTGGGTCTTGTTCTTCCAGTGGTCTTTTTGATGTGGCCTGTTTCCCTCCTTTTTGAAATGGCACAGAGTCACGCTTTTTGTTGTGGACGGCTGAGGTTGCAAACGTCGAGGCTTGGTTGATCTGGAGAGTACGGGTGTTCTTGAGGTGTTGCGGGAGTCTCGTTGCGACGACGGGTTCAGAGATGTGCAATTGCGACATGCCCTGGACGAAGAGCCGCAGGGGACTCAGGGGACTCAGGCGACAAGAGCAGAGCATCGTGTGATCGTGGGGGTTTTGATTCGGTATGAGGTGGGAGGACGTCGAGCTCTGGATTATGGTATTATAGGTTGAGGTGAGGTTAGACAAGGAGGCGTTTCCTGGCCGGGGTGGGAAAAAAAAAGTCGATCTCAAGTCTAATTAATTTGGTTGCGCGACTGGACGGGACGGGACGCGCAGACAGGAGAACCCGCCGCAGGGGCGCCCGGCGGAAAAGCGCCGCTGCGCCGGGTGCCACCGTTGGTTAACTGCAGGGGCTGCTGAAGTGCTTGCAGCGGCCGTGGAAAGTCAGCGGTTGAGAGCGGTTCCCCACTGACTGCCTACCTGAACAAACCTCAGCTTCATCCCATACATTTCCATCACCGGAATACCTGAACTCGAATATACACAGGAAGCCTATATACCCCCCTTCAATCCCATTCCTGTCACCAGCCAGCAGGCGCCCGTCTAGGTCGACGGGTCGGGTCAAACTGGCTGGGTGCTGGAAGTGGTTCAAGGTCAACAATTAATTTATACGCTAACCAGCCTACTCGACGACAGGCTTAACGAGTACCCGAGTTCGAATCCCAGCATGAGCACCAAGAGATGTAGCCTACCGAGGTGAACTCTTTTTTTTTTCGTTATTCGGATCTGTTAATGCTTACATAAAGGTATACATACTTGTTGATCCCCAAGGGCTGCTTGCCTGTGTCACTAATGCCATTTGCACCCACACCAAGATTGGTTTGAAGAAGTGATCAAAGCGAAGCGCGACTTCCACTTACACATCGTATTAATCAACTACAGCTCACGAACTTATTTGCAGAACAGTTCGGGGATCAATCGAGTCGAGTTTCTGAACATTGCTCCTCCATCCAATCGAGTCTGCGTCCATTCTTGATCCACTCCAGATACCGCCCTCCCTGTCAACTAGGAAGAAGACCAAGCACGTGCAAACATCATGGCATCATCCATGTTCTCGGCAGTCTTTGAGGTCGTGGGGCCAACCTTCTCAGTGCACCTACCTGCATCTCCGTCCAATCTACCCATTGCCCTCCTGTTCCCAGTTGGGCTTTCCGGTCGACCAGTGTGGTCCGGTGATTCGCCAAGTCAGGTGTCAAACCCCCCTCATCCGAAAGGGCCACCAATTCGGTTGTCTCCAACTTCCAGGTTGAAGATGTCTTTCTCTGGCTCTGCGTTCACTTCCTGGTTTTCAATTTCTTGTTTACTTCATGTTCATACGATTCATCGAGCTCAAATTGAAACAGTAGCCCAATTGTTGTTCATAAACATCTACTTGCTTATATGACAGGTCTTTTGAGTTCTATGAAGTCATTACGCCCTTAGCTTGAGCTTGAGCTTTGCCCCCCTGTTTCGCCGAGGCGAACTAAACACTGAGACTTCCGGGTCTTTCCCAACTCTTCTCTCTTCAACTCTACGTAGACAGCTGAGGTTTCGTGCATTTCTCTCATCTTTCCTTGTTCTAGATTATTTTGTGTCAAGAGATTCACATCTCAAGCACCAGCAATGGCACGGCTCCTCTGGTACCGAGGTGAAGAGTGGCGAGAAGTCTGGGACTACTGGTTCAAGTGGACCCACGAGCACCTCACATCCGACGACCTTCGCCCGATGATATATACCTACGATGAGCTCGGCGCCAAAGCACTGGACAGACTGGATGAGATATCACCTCCGGTGAAACCCTCAACCACTCCCAGTGAGAAGGTAGACACTCCTCAGGACGCGAAATCGCACCGAGACTTGTATGCTCTATTGAGAGACAACGCAGACGCAGACGAGGCCTTAGGGAAGTTATGGACTGAAATCAATACCGTCCCGCCATGGGTCGACTGGGCCCAGATTGAACGCGGACAGCAAGTATTCCTCCGATACGCCGGCCCAGCCATATTTGCTGTAAGATCAACGATACAACGCCCACTCACCTCACTAACACCAATACCCATCTCACCTTCCAATCCCTCGTAGGCGGCATGGGCGGCCGCCGCGTCGTAGAAACCCTCTCCCGAACAGGCGGCTTCGGCGTCAACGTCACCCGTCGCCGCCTCCTCGAGACCTTCCAGCACATCCTCCAAGTCACCCGCGACCTCCCCTCCATCCAACCGGGAGGCGAAGGCCACGCCTCCTCCGTCAGAGTCCGCCTCCTCCACGCCGCCGTCCGGCGCCGCATCCTCCTCCTCGCAAGCCAGAAGCCCTCCTACTACGACGTAGCAGCCTACGGCGTTCCCGTAAACGACCTAGACTCTATCGGCACCATCTCAACTTTCTCTTCAACCCTCCTCTGGATCGGCCTCCCGCGGCAGGGGATTTACCTAAAGGACAGCGAAAAGGAAGACTACCTCGCCTTATGGCGCTACGTAGCCTACATCATGGGCACACCCACCTCGTCCTTCTCCACGCTCACAAGGGCCAAGGCGACAATGGAAACCCTCCTCGCCTCCGAGATCCAGCCCTCCGACACCTCGCGCGCCCTCGCCAACAACGTCCTCACGGGCCTCGCGGACCAGCCGCCCTCGCACGTGTCGAGGGAGTTCCTCGCCGCGGAGACGTACTGGCTCAACGGCGCCAAGCTCGCGCGCGCGTTGGCGGTTGAGAGGCCGCCGTTTTATTACTCGCTTCTTATACTGGGACAGTGTCTCTTCTTTATGTTTATGTGTTATTCTCGACGTATGTTTCCCGGATGGGATGAGTCTAGGAATAAGGTCAGTTCGTCAACTAATCCTTGAGGGATCCCTTTTGCCGTCTATTTTCAATCAGCAACATGTTGATAAAAGAGAATGAAGCCTGCTTTATCACAAGGTAAACTACAGTAACCTCTAACACCCTCCCAGAACCTCCAAAAAGCCCTCTTCAACCTAACAGTCCACAAACCCGAGCTCGGCGCCCTAGGCAAAGAAACAACCTTTGAATTCAAGTACATCCCGACCCTGGACGTCATGTCCACCGAGGCAGCGGCCCGAACCCAGCAGCAACAACACCCGGGCACACTAACCCATGAACCCGGCTCCACCGCCGCAGCTGCAAAGACTGAAGGCGCGGGGGCACGAACAGGAGCACGAGCAGGAGCAAGCACCCGCCGCGTGCGCAGCAACGAACGCCGGAGCCTCATGACCCTAAGCGTGGCCGTCACCGTGGGCGGTCTGCTCGCCTGGCTTGGGATCCGCGGGGCTTCGGCGCTGGTGGTGAGGGTTCTTTGAGTATGGTTGCCGGTGAACGTTGTTAGGTGGTTCCGCAGGAACAAAAGTGCGCATCATACGTCAGAAACAATCGTAGATGAGACTCGACTCCCCGACAAGCTGATCCCGATCGGCTGTGAGAGCCGGATTTCTTCTGCCCTTGATTAGGGTTCAAAGTCGTAGTGTAGATCACTGTATCTGAAGATCAAACCGTTTGGTCTGGCGCGTCTTTTTTGGGTTTGCGTACACCTGTCCACGAATCTGCTCCATGGCATAAACGTCTCTGCCGCAGGTTTCGGATTGCAGAAGTGGTAAGATAGAGCTACATATCACAGTACTGAGACAGATATAGGGGTCCACACCAGTTTTGTTCTTGTTGGTAATCAAGTTTGTTTGTTTCGCTGCCTTTCAATACTGAGTGCGCGAAAGGGGAATCTAGTGTACAGGAAAAGACCTTGTGTGCTTCTGAGCAACACTGTAGAAACTTTTTTTTTTCCAAAAAAGAAAAAAAAAGAAAAAAAAACCCCCCCACTTTAAAAATCTGGCTCGTTGGCCATCGGGAACGACAGTGTGATAAGTGCCGATCCATTCGAATAGTATTCCTCCCCAATAATGAGCCGCAATGTGCGAGCCGTGGTCTTTCCATAAAACGCCGCCGCAAGCCCGTGTCGAATATGCTAGATGCGTGCCCAAAGGTTTCCGAACCGCCATAGTCCCAAGTATCGTACCATCCAACGCCTGACCAAGATCGCTCTTTCAAAAACAAATAGTTGATATCAAGAATTATGCGTGGTTCATCAGCTCCACGGGCGGGCGGGAAGTATGCGCCATGATGGGCTTCGCCTCGATAGGGCTGAACTCCATAGGCTCGTCGGTCATGTCCTCAAGGCAGATGGCGGGCAAATCGGGGCTGGTGCCGTTGACGTCAGGCTGGTAGAGTAGGGTAGAGCTCCTGCTGCGCGTTTGTCTTGAGCCGTCGACGGGGCTGATGGGGGTCTCGATGCCCGTCGGGCGGTGGTGCAGCTTGGCCAGCGCATCGGCAAGGTCCTCTGCGTGCACCGTCTTGTTAGGAGCGTCCTCCAACTTCATCTCCCAGCCGTGAGGCGGCGAGGGAGGGGGAGAAATGAAGAAGAGCTTTCCGGCGTCGGGCAGGGCGAGGTGGCGGTCGGTGACCTCGACGGGGGTGGGCTGGCCAAAGTAGACGCGGACGCGCTCTCCCATGACGGCTTCACCGTCCCAGACACGGCGGACGGCGATGGCATCGTCCTCTGAGAAGAAGGAGACGACGATGCGGCGGAAAGACTTGAGGGGTGCCCATGAGTGGACTGACGCCGTCTTGAGAACGAGGTCGCGAATGGTCTGGAGGTTGTCGGGACGGAAGATGGAGGTATCGTTGAGGTTTGTGAAGAGAAGTGTGTTTGTGGGCGGCGTCGGCTGAACCAGAGGCGGCAGGGAGGAGAGGTCAAGGGAAAGCGACTTGTTGGAGCCGGTTGAGCGCCTTGAGAAGATGGGGCGGGTATCTAGCTGAGGTGATTCCATTTTGGCTGGTTGTGTAGGTGTGTGTATGTGGTTGAGGTGTGAGGAAGTGGACGCGATGGTTTTTGCGGTGTGGCGAGGAAGTCGTTTCTAGCTCTGTGCTGTTTATTCTACGCCGATTGTGTAGTGATCTTATTCATCTGCAGAAGAGAGGTTTGCAGTGTAGTTGTTTGTGTAGTGTTTTGTTTTGTTGCTGGAGTTGGAACGAGAAGGGATGGTGGTGGTTGGCGGAAGGCGGTCTTGGTTATATGTTTGAGCGTGCCAGTGAGAGAGTGGCTTGGCCTGGCGCTACTGAGGAGACTACCTTACCTTACTGGGGTCGGGCGGAGTGTGGGATGGTTGGGTGGTGGACGGTGCCAGGTGGATGCCCTGGTGGATGGCTGAGTTGGGAGGGGAGGGGTGCCGTGCGGCGTGCCTCTGAGTCTACGTACTCGGTGGACCGTAAGCTCTGGACGTTGAGTGGGGCACTGGGTGTGTCTGTGTGGATGAAACGGGAAGGCCACACGGACTCACGGACCCGTTTGAAGTTTCGCCGCCATTTTGGAGAGCCGTCACAGTGGTGGAGACGGCAGACGGACAGACGGGGACTCTCCCTACGGTCCCCTTCCTTATCCGTTCCCACGGACACATGGTCAAGCAGTCAACTTACAGCCCAGTCGCTGCGAGCGCAGACCACAGGGCAAGCTTACTCCAGGCTTCATGGTGGGAAAATGTTCACCGCAAGGCAGGGCGCGTGGGTTTGCCAAGGTGCATTGGCGCGAGAAGGAGCACGTCGGGATCAGACGACGCATGGAGAACAGCGGCAAGGCACCAGCTTGTGCCGTTGTGCGCAGGATGTGAGAGAGAGAAAGAGACAGACTATGAGGTAAGTCGCTCGTTCGGTTCATCATCTCACCATCTTACCGGGCACTTCCTCTGTACCTACTACTCTTGGTACTCTGTGGGAAGAGAGACTGATAGAGGCGTGAGAGGCAAGCACTGAGCATCCAGCAGCCCGGGGTCAGGACTAACACGGCTGACATGAATTGGGGCTGTGCAAGAGCAAGAGGCAATACGGATAGAGAGAAATGATACGGCAAACGTTTTCTTCTCCCACTCCAGAAGGCTTGGCATTCTCCAAGTCTGAAGTGTCCATGGTATGCTTTCCGCAACACTGCCAGACTGCTTTGCAATATCTGCTATGCCATACCTCAACATGACTGACCATGCCCTTGCTTCGCGCCGTGCTGCGGTTGCACCTGGTGGCTCATGGGAAATGATCCACGAAAGACCTGGACCTCTATCGTCCCTCGCAAGCGTGGAGATGCACCGCTTGACACGGCAGACAACTGACGAATTGAACAGGTCTTGGTTCGTCGGCCCCGCTGGAAATCGAATTGTCGAGAATGCCATTCGCCACCCCAGCCATTCTTTACGCGCAGTTTCCGTGTTCTGGTCCCCCAAGTCTCTTCTTGGTCTCTTCCTTAACGGATGAGCTAAGACACTTGGGAAGAGCCCATCTTGCACTAGACCCCATTACGTACCGTTACGGTAGCGGACCCAGTTATCTCCGCCTCAATCGGTAATTTCCTCAGTGACGACTTTTACGGTGTGCCATGAGGGCGGTGCTTGCCTTCCATCGAAGTTTGAACCCAAACTGGCTGGCACAGTGCCACGGCTGCTTCCCGTCCTCAGGTCACAATAGCGACAGGGCAGTCACCCAGTGTGCCAGTCTCGTTGTCGTTGTCGGCTGCAAACCTCTTCGCCTCCCGCAGGCCTCCCCCATGCAACGAATCTACGAGCCTCTTCCACCGCTGTTCCCCCACACGCCCAGCGCACTCCCCGTCCGACCTGATGTGAGGTGGTCAACAATGTCAATGACGGCACACTCTGGAGCGAGACCTGGCCTCCAAAGTGCTGAGAAACAGCGCCTCGACCCGCTACTTGACCGCAGCTACGGCAGCCGACGACAGCACTACGTTCGGTAGCGGCGCATCGCCACCTTGTTCTGTGACCTCACACTCGGGTCTCTCTTATTTTCCCTTCCCGTACGTCCCTGGACACGCGAGAAACAGGCACAGCAGACAGCCACCGAAGGCTTGGGTCTCCCGTCGCTTCTTGAGTCTTGGGATGCCTCCGGTGCGTCCATTCCGAGTACCTATGCAGCCACCCGTTTTCAGAGACACTTGCATCTCGGATCCTCGAGATGCCCAGTCTGGACTCGGGCATACTCCGAATGTCAACGTTACCCTACAGATGCAGATACCAGACCTGTCGACTGTCACAATAGTGATTCGACGACAACCAACACCTCGACAGCAAATCTCCCCGCTCTTGCGCTATCGCGGTTAAGCTAAAAAGCATCCAGGGATACCGAGTCAAACCCCACAGCGTTCAGTCCCTGGCCAAGGGTCCATGGAGTGACGGGGGCTGTGCAGCAATTCTTGTGTTCACAAGACAAGTCTGGTCTTAACCACTCACTGTATCTACAACACTTGGAGTTTACGGTTCGATAATAGGCTTGGGGGCGGCGCCTCCTTGGACCACTTGCGATACTATCAAACCAAGGTTCGCTCTTCTATCCGAAAATTGTCCTGACCATGATGTCGGCAGGTTGCAGTGTAATCTGAATGACCGAAGCTTGTGTTCCTGGTCTTGGCTGAGCAACGCCTCCAACCCCCGGTATCATATCATCTGGGGCTGGGGCTTGGTTTTGGAGGGGAGCTCACCTATGATGCGAGCCCGCCGCCCCTCTCAATGAACCGCAGCGATGGCGGCGCCAACTCAGCAGAAAACCTGCCTCGATCTAGGAGTTCATGCTATGACATACCGGCCGAGTGAATAGGGGCAAGGCATTCCGTCACCCCGTACGAGATTTATCGCGGGACGGGGTCCCGAAAAGCCTCAGTCGCGGCTCGCCTTTGAAGTTTGAACTTCGCTATGCCGGCTCAGCCCGCGCCGGCACACGAGTCGGCCTACGAATTTTGTCTTCGCTCAGCCAGCTCTGCGCCAAATTGCACCGAGCCTCAGCCCCTTCCCTACGCCGCCGGTCAGAGACATTCACCAGTGCACACGCTCGTCTGATCTCGAGCAGAAGGACAATCAGCCACGATGAGTATCGAGTATCCGCAGAGCCCAAGAGGACAGCAGACGAACAAGATGAAATTTGCCTTCGACAATCAACACGGCCCAGCCGCTGATCGTTGCAGCACCGGCAACCATTCTGTGACGCTGTTCGCCAATGTTTCAACCCGATCGCCCCGACACGCCGCAGAAACGCTCCCCTCTCTCCGATTGCCACGGAAGATTACGGTTTTGCTGTACGGTCAGCAAATACCCCTCTGGCGATCTGGAAACGAGGCTGTGCAAAATACCAAGACTTTCCACCTGCCAGATTGATGTTTCGTGCTGCAATCGGCTTCCCCAGACACCGTTCTAGGCCAAGACATGCATGCTCTTTTTCCTGCATTTCGCTGCACCTCCGACACTCTCTCTTTTCACTGGCG